GAATGGTGGCACCGTCGTTGGTAACAGTAACATCCTAGTATAAAGTGTGAGATATAGTCGAGCGCGGAGCTAGGAGGAGGGCTAAGTTGCATACACCGATATCGTCCACCATCATCTTGTCGAGGCCGCTGGGACCGAAAGAACTCTTGACAACATTTGCGATTGCCTGTGTAGCGAGAACTGAAGGTCCGTTAGCATGTTTTCCGTATTTGAAATCCAATATCAAAGGCTCATGTCTCCCCCCACTTCCCCCTAACATGTAGCAAAAGGCGGGACAAGATATAGACAGACAGACATACCATTCTGGTCTCTAATATCAGAACCTGAGATCTTCTGGCCCCCCAAGAAAAGGGTGCCGTTTCGGGGCTGCTCGAACATGGAAGCCATAGTTGCAGCTATTAGTAGCGTTGACGGTGAAAGGCGGCTTCGTCAACGTGGGGATGGAGTCAGGAAATTCTACCAGCAGGCTACCGTACACAGACAGAACCTGCCCGAGCTGTGAAGCTCCAGTGCCCCTCGACTGGACTTTTTTGTCGGAGGCTGGCGTTATTCCGGCGCCGACTGAAATAGGTGCCAGCTGCCCTGGGCTGTCGCTGTGTGCTGGTTACAGGGCGTAAATCGGATACCCACCCGAAGCCCAGGGCACTTGACAGAAGGTGCACGGACCCCAGAAACCCCAAAACTAACCCCTGCCGCGTTATCGGACTTCCCTGCAGCTGAACGGCCGCTGTTTCAATTGGCTGATAGGGCATTGGGCCTGAATTTTGGGCTAGATTTCCAGCGGTGCCGCCGTGAGTGAGAGTCGAGAGTCAAAGCCCGGGCGGGAAGGAGGGGCAACCGCACAGCACCAACTGCACCTCGACTGCGGGGCACAAAGTCACGTCCGACGTTTACTTCGACTCACACCCCGAAGCCTTTCTTCTCCTCCTCCCCCCTTCAACAGATAACGTCGCTCCTCTGCTTCTCGATTCTTTAAAGGCGCGCAAGCCACTGTTCGGTTGCCTTGAATCTACTTATCATCCTCTGTTACTTTTCTGTCAATTACCTTTCGACCAACACACGAATCTCACCAAAATGGAGGGCGCCGCCGAACAGTCCAAGAGCGCCTTGAAGAAGGCCGAGAAGCAGGCTCGTCTTGCTGCTGAGAAGGCTGCCAAGGCTGCTAAGCAGACCAACCTTCCCGTCGTCGGTGGAAAGAAGGCGGACGACATCATCGGGATTACAGTGTCCAAGGCCGAGAACTTCCCCCAATGGTACCAGGAGGTCGTCCTCAAGGCCGAGATGGTCGAGTACTACACCGAGATTTCGGGTTTCTTCGTTCTCCGACCTCTTGCCATGCACATCTGGAACGAGATCCGAAAGTGGTTCCAGGCTCATATTGAAGAGATGGGTGTTGACGAGACCAACTTCCCCATGTTCCTGTCTTCCAAGTCTCTCGAGAAGGAGAAGGATCACGTCGAGGGCTTCGCCCCCGAGCTTGCTTGGGTCACCAAGGCGTAAGGATGCCCATACAAACCAATTTACTTTTATGAACCTCAATTGACAATCCTCCAGTGGTGACAAGGACCTCGAGGTTCCTGTTGCGGTCCGTCCTACATCCGAAGCCGTCATGTACCCCTACTATTCCAAGTGGATTCGCAGCCACCGAGATCTCCCCTTGCGCCTCAACCAATGGAACTCTGTCGTTCGCTGGGAGGCCAAGCAAACAACTCCTTTCCTCCGAACTCGTGAGTTCCTCTGGCAGGAGGGCCACACTGCTCACTTGACTGAGGAGCTTGCCGGTGCCGAGGTGCTCGAGATTCTTGAGCTTTACGCTGGTGTTTACGAGAAGCTTCTGGCTGTCCCCGTCGTTCGAGGCCGAAAGACCGAGAATGAGAAGTTCGCCGGTGGTTATTACACCACCACTGTCGAGGGCTACATCCCTTCCAACGGTCGTGGTATCCAGGGCGCCACCTCTCACGCCCTTGGCCAGAACTTCAGTAAGATGTTCGACATCACTGTTGAGGACCCTGCCAACAAGGGCTCTCACATCCACGTCTGGCAGAACTCTTGGGGCCTCTCAACCCGTGTCATTGGTGTCATGGTCATGATCCACGGTGACGATAAGGGTCTGGTTCTTCCTCCCCGCGTTGCCAAGACTCAGGTTGTCATCGTCCCTGTTGGCATCACCAAGAAGACTACCCCTGAGGAGCGACAGAAGCACGAGGAGCAGGTTGAGGACATCCGAGCCAACCTGAAGAAGGCTGGTGTTCGTGTCACCTCTGATTGGCGAGAGGGTTACACTCCTGCCTGGAAGTTCAACGACTGGGAGCTCAAGGGTGTTCCTCTGCGTATCGAGTTCGGTCCCAAGGATGCTGCCAAGGGCGTTGTCAGCACCGCGCGACGTGACACCGGTGAGAAGGGAGAAATTGCCATCACCGATGTCGCTACCAAGGTCCCTGAGCTTCTCGAGACCATCCAAGCCGACATGTACAGCAAGGCTGAGAAGTCTTTCCGAGAGCACCGACTCACTATCACCAAGTGGGAGGATGTTCTTCCCGCTCTTGACGACAAGAACGTTGTGCTCATCCCCTTCTGTGGCGCCCCCAAGTGTGAGGACCGCATCAAGGAGCTCACCACTCGCGAGGACCAGCCTGATGTCCCCGAGAACCAGAAGCTTGCCACTATGGGCATGAAGAGTCTGTGTGTTCCCTTTGAGCAGCCCGAGGGTATTATCCCTGGGGAGACCAAGTGTCTCAACCCTGAGTGCCAGAGTAACGCCGACAAGTGGACCATGTTCGGACGAAGCTATTAAGGAGTTGAATGAAATTTTATAGTCAGGGAGCGGGAAGGCGTTGACCTGGCATGTTTATGATACACCAGTGCGATTGTTTATGACTTGATGTGATTGTGATTATATCATGAAAATGGGATGGGGGCTGGTCACGGAATCAAAACAGTTAGAAAAGAAGATAGATCGTAGCGAAGATATTTCATCGACATCTCGTTGGTCTAAATACGGCTTTCTATCGAGTTACTACTTGCTTTTGTGCTGTTCGAGCCGGGATATATGAGTGTTTAACACCAGGCAAACCTCTCGTTAGCAATCCAGTCAACTTCCTGATCAGAACCATTGAACCAGTTTAGACTGGCAATGTTGCTGTTTTCTCGGACGATGAATTTGGCACCAAGGAATTGGATGCCTTCTGTGACCCTTCGCATCCGATCCTCAGGGTTCCAAACTTCAACCTTGGAGCATTTCCATTCCTTGGCCTCCTTCTGGACGAAACTTGCAATGGCCTGGATGCCTTTGGCAAGTGTCTCATCTGAGATACTCTCGTCTTCGATGACCAATCGCAATACACGAATGACATTCTTCTCGGGTTGGTCAAGCATGCCGTAGAAGCTGCAAGTCCAGAGAGCCCAGATCCTTGAGTTGGGGGCGTCAGGTGGAGTGTATACGGCACCGTGGACTGTTGGTGTGCGGGAGAAGATGTGTTTGCACATAAAGTTCTCCCGGTGAATATGCCATTTTATAGTGGTGATATCAGGAATGACTGCGGCGCTGACTTGAGAGGCTTTTGAGATCCTGTCTCGAAGAAGTTGTTCATCTCGAGCTGCCAGGTCTGGAATATCATCAATGGTGATAGGCTTCAGGGATGAATCGGCAGTTGGCTCAGTCTCAGTAACAGGAAACTCGAGATATGTGCTCTTGAAAGGCTCCCATCCCACGGTCTGGTAGAATTTGGGTCCGACATCTGACCAAAGGACCGAGAAATCAGCAGCGCCTTCATTCTTTTGCTGTCTGCTTTTCAGCTCATCAGCAATTAGGGACAGCATCTTTCTGGCATATCCCTTTCCTCGATATTCAGGGAAGGTGAAGACACTGGCCACACCGTGAGCAGTTCCATCTCTTGCTTTTCCATCTTTGGTTCGGACAAAGGCTCTTTTGTTGTAGGTCTCACACGATGAGAGGAGGGGTCTTTCACCGGGCTTTTTATCTCCATCGGTGAGGATCCAGCTTGTTACGCCGCCATCTCGAGCTAGAGGAGCCTCGAGATTATCATACTCTCTAGCGATATAGTCCTCCATGGATAAGGCGGCCCCCCAATGGGGTTGAGTACCCTTCCATAGGAGCTCTCGTTCAGAGTCGGTGGGGTTTGTAAGTATAAGAGAAGGGGATGTGACGGGAGGGAGAGCTTCAGTTGACGCCATTGTAAATTGTTACTGTGTTTGTGTATAAGATATGCTTGTGTTGATTGTAGCTTTGTTCTGCGTGTTCACAAATTTGAATATTGTCTCATCTTGAGGCGTCTTATACTTCTTGAATGAGAGAGGATATTCAGATCTACGCCCTTCTGGAGGCGGCCCCGCATCGGCTGTGGAGCTGAACATTTACCCTGAACACGCCAACACGCCGGATGAGTCTTAAATTCCACGCTGCCAAGTATTCGTGACTAGAATGATATCATTCGATTTCGTAAAATCATGTATTTTGACTTGTTGTGAGAAGTTGTATTAGTCTTTCTTGATCTATTCAGGTCTGGGAGTGACTTCTTTTGGCTTCCACAAAAGTACCTGTATGCTTAGATGCTTGTGGGGTGTTATTATCCAGCATTTGAGTGAATACATGGTGAGGAATTGGAGAGCCAAAGTGCGAGTGTCTTTCACTGATCTAACCGAACCTTTGATATCATGACAACTTGCAAGCCTAGAGGAGATTGGCGGAAACAAGTTGTTAACTGTCAGCGTAGTGGGCAACCTTGTACACTACCTTTCTCGAATTAAGTTAATTGCGAGATCATCATCAGTAGTACGTTGAAAAGGTTTGAACATAAGAGAATCCAATATCATAAACGGTGATAATTATATCAGTGCTAATCTTTATTAATGAAGGGAGCTCTAGTGGTGGGGTTGACATGACACGCCGAACAGCTCCCTGGTAGTGAGGGGCATTCTATGAAAACCTCTAATTTATATCCTACAACTCGAGATACCGAACCTCCATTGGACCACACGAAATGGCGTTACCACTTCCTTCAGGGCTCACTCCCTCAGAAGTTGCATTTCTATGTGAAATGGAACTCGTCACTGTCGTTCCTCGCCAACGCCTTGAAAGCATTGATCTTCTATCGGTGAGCGCGTCCCTGTCGCGTTTATACAAGCTCGTCGCTGACCTGATCCGTTACACAGGGAACGACACCGACTCTCCGGCCGCCGCACAGAAGTAACTTACCTTTATGGCTTGCGATACTGTTAAAGAAACAACGGCGCGCGAACATTGTTCCTCCTCCTTGGCTTCATCCCGATTCGTTACGCGATATTGTACACCACGAAACAAAGGTCGATCCTAAAGGATGGGCGCCACCACCTCCTCCTCCGGTGCGGGCAGATAGTCGAGGAAACGCGAGACGGCTAGATCCCTTTGTAGACGATGAGGTAGTACTGTCACCGCCGTTTCTTCCATCCTGTACATCAGATGCGCCTTCGGGTGCCCTGCCATATCACTGGTTCGAAGTCGCAGAAATGCTCCTCGCCCACGCCTCAGACGATGTCGCCTCCTCTTCAGAAGTACGTTCGCTACTCCGAGATCTACAAGAAGTGAGGGCAGCAAAGATGCGATCCAGTACCGCCCAACTCGAGGGTGGAGTCGACGGTGTCATGAGTCTACGGGGAGTTGGAGCTATGGAGCTTGCAGAGAGCAGAGGATTTGTCGTCGGTGTAGTGGAAGGTGTGAGGAAACTCGGCGCAAGCACAGAAGCAACGCGGAGAGAGGAGGAGGAACAAGGTGGTGGTGATGAGTCGGATGAGGCGAGCGACGAGGATATGGGACTATGACACTCCATCTAGGCTATGAGCGAAGAATTACGATTTCACGAAAAGGGGTGAAGCATACATGGCGCAATTAAAGGAGAACGACTTGTAAGTCGATTACTACTCTATACCAATTCTTTCCAGAGTTCCTGTCTAACCTCTAAAATCAAAATATAGCCCATTATTTTAAACTCCATGGAATGCCTAACATCGCTATTAACTCGTACCTGCCTGCGCTGCCGCCTGAGCAAGGGCCAGCCTATGTTTAGCAAGTCGCGCAGGATGAATTCGAACCCTCCCGCCAGCAGGAGGCTGAAGATGAGGTGCCAGCACCTCCCAACTTGCGCCCTGCAACAAGGCTCCCGCAAACTCCTCGTGCATATCCAGTCCTGTCTCCCTCAAATATCTCTCAGGGTCAGCAGCAGCTCCTTGCAGAAGTTCCTCAGCCTTGAAGAACCGTGCCCAATCCTTGTGCCATTCATTATGACACTCGTGGCATCCTCTTCCTGGGTTGTGAAGACAGGGATGAACCTCGTAGCACTCAAATCCTACAGAGTGAAATTGCTCGTACCAGTCATAATGGCGACGAGCTCTCATTCCGGAGCCGTGCATACCTGGGATTTCACTAGAATTGTTGGTTAGTTCGTGTTCTGAGAATGAACGGAGGTCTTGACTCACGGATCGAAAGATGGCCAGGCCAGTGGGCTGAGTTCACCTGGCGATGACTCGTCCACAGGAGTGGCCATCATCGCGTATGCGACCGGCTCGTTCCCCAAAGGACTAGGCTCATCGGAGACAGGGGAACCAGAGGTCCAGGCCATAGGTTGCAAAGGCTCAGAGGCAAAGCGTGTGGTTGTGATTGTGGTTGCTGAAGGCTCGACAACAATGCACGGTGACAAAGAGCGGGCTCTTTTTATTCCTGCTGCGGAAGCATCCTCATCGCCATCACAAGATCGCTTACGCTTTCCCACGACACTTTCTGAGTGGTCAGGAGGAGTGTCCAATCGTCCGATAGACTGAGCAGAGGCAGGGAATGAGCTTCTCAGTGGTCCGATAAACTCGGCGCAGTCTGGGCCGTCATTTTCCCTACCGCCGATTCGAGCATCATATCCGCTATAGTCGATGTACGGAACCTTGATATCTGTAGGACGGCTTGGTCGTCTGGAACGGCCATCGAGCCTGGGCGAGTCGAATCCAGCAATCCATGTAGAACGGTTCCTGGCCCCGGACATGTTACTCACCATTGCCCACGCGCTTGTATCATCGCGTGAAATGGCAGAATCCCCAGCGGCCGGCCCTGAGTTGTACTCATCGTCCGCCTCATATCCGCTTGGATACTCCTGGGCGGAAGAAGAACCAGCAGCAATCAGAACACCTGAAGACCCAGGAGGGCCGGAGTAGCCAGAGGAGCCAGAAGGCCCAGAGGATGGACCTCCTGGCGCATCATCATCGTTCCCATCGTCTCCCTCCGAATCTGATGAGCTTTCAGAGCCGGTAAATACCGTGTTGTCAGAGCTTTCCACAGAGGGTTCATAACCACTGCTGCCCCCGCTTCCACTTGACTCATCCTTAGATCCATCGCTTGGGGGGTCGCCAGAGCAGCCGTCGCCATTGCTTTCATACTCGTCGCTACTCGGCTGTTCGTGACCTGTAGCGATAAGTACGTCTATCTTTATCGAATCAGGACTTGGATGGTAGGAAGGTGGAGATGTTCGAGTAGGTGAACTCGGCGAAGAGAATTCCGTGTCCGAGTTCGAGCCTGACCCAGTGCTCGAGGATGGAATCATATTGGATGGCCCAGCTGCCGAAGGCATTGGTGTTCCAGGGGCTTGATTTCCCACTGAGGGCGAAGGAGATGGTGTTGAGGGTCCTGAGCTCGAGCTTGAGCTGGAGTGCTCATCCTGATCAGAAGGAAAGGCTGGAGGAGGGGAAGGAGATGTAGATGGTAGTGATGAAAGCTCCGAGCTGGAGCTCGAGCTTGCAGGCTGGTTATGGCCTGAAGCTTGGGCATTTTGGTAAGCTGTACCATTGCGGGTGTTAAGCTTGATTAATCCCCTTCTTGGAGCTGCAGGCTCATTCTGGTCGGGGGATGAATGCCCTGAACCTGAACTAGGATTCGGATTCGGGCCTGAGGTTGCGCTAGGGCTTGGAGACGGAGTGACAATTGCTGCAGCAGGAGTTGCAGCGGATGAAGATGGACTCGATGGTGCTGCTGTTACTGCTGTATTCGAACTTGAAGCCTGCCCCTGGTTTGAAGGGCCAGCAGCCGAAGGGCGTGCAGCATAGTTAAGTTTTATCCTGACTCTCCTTTCTCTGTTAGCCATGTTAGCAGTGCCGCCGAGCCTCTGAACAACATCATTGAATGGCAAGGGCTCAGGGTCCTCGACTAGGGAACGCCCCTGGCAATCTCTATCAGATTCAAGGCTCGTCATCAGAGGAGGGGCATTGTTAAGCCTGGAGCGGGCTCGGGTCAGTCGCATAGCCCTTGGTTCAGGAGCAGGAGCAGGAGCAGGTCTGGGGTTCTGGGGTCTTGGAGCAGCCTTGGCTTTGCCCTTCCCCTTCGGATTCTTGTTCGGCATTATGATTATAGTTGTGAATAGTTTCGATAATGGATTGGATGTTCGACAAAACTCTGCTTTGCTAGTAACGTAATGGGTTGTGATACTAAATGGTTGAACATGTTTGGAACTGAGAAGACACAATGCCTGTTATGTATTTTCCTCATCATGGTGATTGTGAATGCAACGATATGTTCCTGTTGTGAACAACGATCTATTGCTTTATGAAGGTCTTTTCCCAAGAAACAAAGGCTATGTATTTCATGAACACTATAGACATCAAAGACAAAGTAGACGCTTAGTCTAAAGATGCTATAGTCGCTTGAAGAATTTCACGTTCGTTAATGAACAAATATGTGCCAAACAAAGAAGCCGGGTTTCTTTATTCCCCAGAACTCACAAAGAGGCTCAAACACCTGCATTCAGAGCCTGCAATAGCCAAGTCGTGTCACATTCACTGGAACACTCACATGACTAAAAGGCTTCATCAGTTGCAAATATCTTATATCTGTTGTATGTGTAACTCCATATGAGTGGTGGAATATGTCCATATCACGATTTGGCTACCTAGGTAGGTATAGAGGTTCTCCGCGCAGCCAATAGCGAATGAGAGGAAAGCAAACCTCTTTGGATGTTGTTAGCAAACCATCATTTATCTTGTTTGAATTATGGGACGTGATATCGCTTTTGTACCCCCAGCTTCTCCGATGATTGCACCGCTTGTCTAAGATTCATTAATCATGATGCTCGGTTCATCAATGCGAGTCAATGAGACTCTGGATTTGACTTGATGTTTTCTTTCCTAAACGAATCGCGATGTCTGGTGATCTCCTATCGTTGGATTGATGAGCACAACTACCGAAAGCTAGAGAATTGCCGAAAAAATGTCTTGGTTTGAGTTCATCATTATGGCCGAAGCTACCACCTAGAAGCTCTCATGACAACCATGTTGCAGCTTTCTAAGCTAACGGCGATGTACCTGGGCAACCGAGAGTGTATAAATGGAATTAGCATAAGGACCTCTACACAGGCTTCAGGACGAGGTAGCCTTCTCAGAAAAGTGAATATTCCACAATGATAAGTAAATGTTGATACATTTATATGAGAGAAGTTATCAATTAGGGAATCATACTCATCATATCTTGGCTTGGATGCATATCGCCTGACAAGAAGCAGGTACAGTTGGGGTAGCCCCTCCTCATGGCAACCGGGTCTCCACACCGCACCTTCCGGGGCAATCACACGACCAAGCCATGACCGCTATCGCCTGAAACGGCAAGTATCTCCCTTACGTGATCGTCATGGTACCTGCCTTGGATCTTATCTCTCCAGGCAGTTCCGCGCGGCTTTGCCTTCTTCATAACCTCTTACAAACATCATCTTGTTGCCATTCATCGCTTCAATTATCGCATTTACAGACACAATGAAGTTTTCACAGGCTTCTCTCTTAGCGGCTTGTCTGCCTGCTGTCTCCGCTCGCTTTATCGAAACTGCCGAGGCCGACAACGTCATTCTCCAGCCAGACGAGCTGTTCCTGGTCGAGACCGCCCCTGGCAAGACGCAATGGGTGACTGAGGAAGAGAAGTGGGAGATGCGCCGTGTAAGTCTCATATTATGCTCTCAGCTCCAGCTGGATCACTAATACTCTCTAGAACGGCCAAAACTTTATGGACATCACCGAGACGCCTTCGCTCGGCTCCAAGCGCATCAACGCTGAGACCACGGTCACGTTCCCTAAGAAGTGTGTTAACCAGGACGATGTCAAGAAGCTCTCCAAGAACCTCGAGAAGAAAAACATGCAGGCCAACCTCGAGAAGTTGACCAGCTTCCACACCCGATACTTCAAGTCCGACTATGGCCTTCAGTCCTCCGACTGGGTTCTTGAGAAGGTCAACCAGATCATCAAGGACGCCGGTGCTGAGGATACTGTTTTCGCCGAGAGCTTTCCTCACACATGGAAGCAACACTCCGTCATTGCGACCATCCCTGGCCAGTCTAACAGCACTGTCGTGATCGGTGCCCACCAGGATTCCATCAACCTCTTCCTCCCTTCCATTCTCGCCGCTCCAGGCGCTGATGACGATGGCAGTGGTACAGTCACTATCATGGAGGTGTTCCGCGCCCTTCTCAACTCCAAGGACGTTGTCAAGGGCAAGGCCCCCAACACCATCGAGTTCCACTGGTACTCTGCTGAGGAGGGTGGTCTGCTTGGAAGCCAGGCTATCTTCAAGTCGTACGAGGAGAATGGCCGCGACGTAAAGGCTATGCTTCAGCAGGACATGACAGGTTATGTCCAGAAGACTCTTGATGCCGGTCAGCCCGAGAGCGTTGGTGTCATTACTGACTTTGTTGACCCTGGTCTGACCAAGTTCATCAAGACAGTCGTTGAGGAGGTACGTTTGTCCAGTTTCTTTGCACGTTCTTTTTACTAACTCTCATTTCCAGTACTGCAGCATTCCTTGGGTCGAGACCAAGTGCGGCTATGCCTGCTCCGACCACGCTTCTGCTTCCAAGGCTGGCTATCCCTCAGCTTTTGTTATTGAGTCCGCCTTCGAGTACTCTGACCCTCATATTCACGGTACCGATGACAGCATTAAGTATCTCTCTTTCGACCACATGCTCGAGCATGCTCGCATGACCCTTGGTCTCGTTTATGAGCTTGGCTTCTACGACTTCTCTGATAAGACAGAGGAGAAGTGGAGTGATCTGTAAATGCCCGATTTTGTGGAATTGTATTTAGAGAGCAGCTATCTCGTTTTGGATGGGTTGCCTCGATTCAGGTATTATGAGGAACGGATTGCATATGAGGATACACGCATAGTTAGCATTGAATAAGAAGACAATCTGTTTGAAACTCTTGAAACTCGTTAATAACAGCGGAATGATCACCAATAAGCCCAGAAGATTTGTGTGGAAGGTTGTAATAATATCATGAATTTCTTACATATAAGTTACTTTACCCTTTTGTCTATAACCCCTTATAAAGAAAGATCCTGAGCGCCACTAATGACCTACCAACACCCGTTATTAACAGCTCGTTTACTGACCCTGCCCATTTCCATTGTTAGGAGGCTGCTGCTGCTGCCCCCAGTGCGACTGGCCGTTCTGCTGCGCTTGCATAGACATCAACGCAGCGAAGAATGCCGGGCTAACGAAAGATCCGCCATTAGCAGCCTGTTGTTGACCCTGTGCAGCTGGCCATCCGGGAGGTGGTGGAACAGCCGCGGCATTGCCCTGAACAGGTGATTGAGGCCAACCGGGAATATGGAAGCCAAAGTTGGGCATCGCTGGCGCTGCGCCTTGAGCTGGAGATGGAGCGCCCGCCCATGGGGATGGAGGAGCAGCTTGTTGGGCAGGCTGAGGAGATGCCTGAGGAGGTAGCGAGTAGCCGTCTCTAGGCTGGTTGAAGCCTCCTCTTCCACCACGTCCAGAACCTCGTCCACGGCCCCCACGCCCTCGAGAATCGCCACGGCGTCCTCCTCGTTGGTGAAAGTTTCTGCTTGATGGAGGCTCGTAGGTCTCTGTTGTGGAGGGGCCGGAACCATAACCGGGTGGTCGTGCTAGAGGCTTATAGGGGCCGTCATCCTCATCGTCGTAGTTGAGACCTCCGTCTGGTCGCGACTCTTGTCGCAGAGGATGAGGCTCCTTGCCTCCCCTGGCGGGGTCCTTCTTCCACTTATCCTTCTTCTTCTGCTTGATCGCTCGCTTATACTCCGCCTCCTTCTCATCGTCTGAGAACTCCATCTCGTCATCGCCGACTTCCTCATCGTGAAGGTTACTAGCGTCTGAGCCCTTCATGTTCTTCAATGGCTCGGTAAAGACATACGCAGCGTGGTCGGTAGGGTAGTAGACTGTTTGGCCGACCTCGAGTCCTAGACTTTTGATGTCCTCGTCTGATGTGAAGCGCACGGTATACATAGGCTGCAGAACCTTTCCGATTGTATCCGCAATCGCACCGATGACTACTCGCTCAGCCGTGCAGAGTACAGATCCGGAATCGAGAACCTGATACTCGCCAGGTGTGAATGCCTTGATCAACATCATGTTCTCCACAATGTGCTCGATAGCTCCCAGCTCTTCAACCTTCATCTCAGGTGTAATGGTAACGTCGGGTTTCGGAATTACTCCTTCAGGAATCTCATTCTTTGTTCGGACCTGGGTGGTTCTTGTACCAGAAGCTCCTCGATCGCCCTCATCATCGGAACCTCCCTCAGCCTGCATGAGCAGGCGCGCGGTCTCTTCAACGCCCAAAAGTTCGTAACCTTCGTTGTCGTCGGAGTCTTCGTCAGAGGAATCAGAGCTGCTTGATTCTGAGGATGATTGGTATGGAGAAGAGTCGACTTCCCATTCGGGGTTATCGCCCTGGTCGTTCTGAAGTGGTGCGGTCTCGGTGGTGTTCTCTGTAGGAGCTGGTTGCGCAGCTGGAGTTGGGTTTAGACCGCCGATGGCGGCCTCGAGGGCACTTGTGAGAGAAGGAGGGCTTCCGGGTTGATCAACTGCCATGGCATCTGAATCTGCGACTGGTGTGGGCTCAGCTTGAGAGGGCTTGGCCTCGGTAGCAGCAGGTGCTGAAGGCTGGCCTTTGGGGTTATTGGGGGCAGCATCTGTAATCTCGGTATTTTGAACGCTTGCGGCAGCAGCAAGGACATCGGCGGGCATGGGCGGAAGAGTCTCGTTGGGTTTGGCCTGGCCGAGGCCGGGGATTTGAAAACCGGACATGTTGTATTGCGGTCGCTTTATTATATGGTGTATGGAATAAAATGGTAGATGTAATATTACTCTTGGCTCATTGGAGATAGATGAGAGGGTAAAGACCAGAAGACAGGTTTGAATGCGACAAGCGCAAAAGTTAAGATGAAGAAAAGCAGAAAGTTTCAGAGCGCCTCTTGCTCATGGGTAAAAGACCCTTCCATGCTAGCGCTAGCAAGAAAAAATCAAGGTGAACGATAAAGTGGACCTGGTCTCCCGGCGCTAGTACCCCACAACACATGCTTCACCGTCGGTGAGCCACGCGCCTCGGTTAAGCCTTAAAAGGCACTCCTGCTATAAAATGTTAGTGCTAACTAGTGTTAAGTGGTTAGTGTTGTAACAGGCCCCTTCCCCAACTGTTGAAGGAAGCTCCAAATTCCATACCCACCCACATCTTGTCTACCAACTCACTATGACATGACGACAACATTCCTTTCCTTGTAAACCATCATCAACTCACGTCGAAATCGAGGTCGACAGCGACGATGGCTCCAGGTACAGCTCAACAGTCGCAACAGCGGCAGTTTGTGCATCCAACTGCCAGTCATGCCAAGAAAAAGTATGTAGAAACCCTATTTCATCCCACTTTGAGAGCTCTTCTGACCATGTCTCTCTCAATTTAGAGCTCCAAGCGCATATTCTATGCAACCAATTTCCGCCTTCTACTGGTTCTTCGGCGCCGCTCTCGTATCCGCCTGGTTCGCCCCGATTCAAGATTGCGATGAGACGTTCAATTACTGGGAACCGACTCACTACTTGTCCCATGGTTACGGTCTTCAGACGTGGGAATATTCCCCAGACTATGCTATCCGCAGCTGGCTCTACATCGCCTTCCACGCCATTGTCGGCAATGTGCGCCGGATATTTCCTCACTCGAATAAGGTGAGTTGCATACGATGAAATAGACAAGAGAGGTCCATTGACGCCGGATCTTCAGGTTGCCGAATTCTACTTCGTGCGGTTTGGGCTAGCTTTTGTGTGCGCCATCACTCAGACGATCCTTTTCATGGTCACCAGCACAACACTCAACAGCCGAATTGGCCTTTTCTTCCTCATCGCGACTGTTGCCAGCCCCGGAAACTTCCATGCAAGCACTGCTTACCTTCCATCGAGCTTTGCAATGTACCTGGTCACTGTGGGAGCTGCAGCTTTTATGAACTGGCGAGGTGGTCTCAAGACTTCTCAGGGGATGTTTTGGTTTGCTGCTGCTGGGATTCTGGGGTGGCCCTTTGCTGCTGCGCTTTGCGCGCCCTTCATGCTCGAAGAGCTCATCCTGCTTGCATTTGGTGACAAGACAGCGTTGTGGGAAGCCTTTGTTCGCATTGGCCGTGGTCTAGTTTCTGCAGTCTTGCTTCTTGTAAGTCTCGTGTTTCCCCGTTACATGATTGATCTAACATATCTAGGCTGGCGACTACTTTGTCAACCTCTTTTTCTATAAGAAGGCGGTTTCTGTGACATGGAACATTGTCAAGTATAACATCTTCTCATCAAACCACGGCCCAGAGCTATATGGAACAGAACCTTGGACATTCTATTTCAAGAATCTGGCATTGAACTTCAACCTCTGGTTTGTTCTGGCTCTTGCTGCTCTGCCTCTATTCATACTCCAGAAGATCATTTCACCATCTGGCCAAGGGTTTCAGACCGGGTTGAGGACCATTGTGTTTCTCTCCCCCTTCTACATGTGGCTGGCTATCTTCAGCGCACAGCCTCACAAGGAGGAAAGGTTCATGTATCCGACCTATCCCTTCCTTGCGCTCAACGCAGCCATTTCTCTTCATATGATTTTGACTGCCTTAGGCAACTCGGACCCCAAGTCCCTCGTTGGAAAGATTCCTGCCAAGCTGAAGCTCCTGGTTGTTACTCTCACCATGATTCTGTCTATCGATGTCGCTCTTTTCCGTGTCTATGGTATCTGGTCCGCTTACTCTGGACCTATGAAGATTTACTCTCCCCTGTGGGAGGGAACAGATGACAAAGAGCCCATTGGTCGCGAGGAGGATACCGTCTGCTTTGGAAAAGAGTGGTATCGTTTCCCCTCATCTTACTTTCTGCCCAGGGATATGCATGCCAAGTTTGTCCGCTCCGAGTTCAGAGGTCTTCTGCCTGGTGAATTCGCTGAAGCTGAGACTGGCTTCGGCTTCTGGAGCGGTACTTGGCTCCCAACAGCGGGTATGAATGATCACAACGAGGAGGACTTGGGTAAATACACTGAGCTCCCAGCGTGCACATTCCTGGTCGACACTCAATACCCAGAGAGGAACGACCCTCTGCCACCAAATGAACCCGACTACATTGCAGACGAGAAGAACTGGGAAATTGTCAAGTGCGAGCCTTTCCTTGACGCTGCCAAGACACACATGCTCGCGAGGACTCTTTGGGTTCCGGATGCGTCATTCATCCCGGACAAGTTCAAGAGAAAATGGGGTAGGCACTGTCTGTTGCAGCGAAAGAATGCTGCTGAGCCTGCTGCTGCCAAATAGAAAGCTTCAGGATTTTGCGAGCGAGCGACTGCGTTGATAGCAAAAAGATAGAAAGTACTTATCTGCCAGATAGATAGACCAGGTCCAATAAAATTGGATAGTACTCAAACAGTAATCTTGATCCATGCAGTGTGCGTCGCATCACTTCAAGTCTTATTCCTACCGCCTGCTGTGGTACTCCTTTCCAAACAATCAAGGCGAGTGAGGGCCTCGAAATTCTTGATTTCATCACATCCAGGCTATTTTCAGAGGGTTGTGGTTACACATAACGGCAGAGCCCTGCTTTGTAAAAGTGTCTGGTACCACGAAAGGCATGTATCTTTCCGAAGAGCCTCAGGTACCAGTCCGTCGGTTGTATTCATTTACTGATGATGGGCCATGCTATTCTTTTGTGCGGTGCTCCTAGATCCACGGTCGTTGGTTGGATGTATGAAGTCGAGTACTTGCGCGAAGGATATCTTGGTGCTGAGCTGGGTAGGTATCTTGTCAATACGGCCAACCCTCCACATCCTCGAAGTTCCGGACACGCCTCTTACCTGAGCAATAATCTTGGCATCAGATCAGTGCTTCAACCTTGGTTAGACCAACCTCCTCAGGTGACAACATCTCGTATTTCGTTTGTATGGTGACCAGTCCTGTCCATGATGCAAACGCTTCACAGCTGCAGCCTTGACAATTAGGAAACTGACAAGTAAGTAAAAATCCAGACAGTTTTGGTACAAAGGACCCAAAGAATCTAATGCTGAACAAGAGTCGCACAGCTGCTGCAGGATTGATGAAGTCCAAGACTATTCTCGCCTCTTGAGGTCAGTTGAGTAACTCGCACTTGTATCATGATCTCAGCGGCACACTTGGGATCGAAAAAACAAGATTGAAAGGCTTTGATGCAGTTGAGGTCATTCGAAAGGCGACAGCCAAAGCGAAACGCAACTTTGACTATAGTAATAACAGATGTCGATGTCAGTTTGTGATACGATTTAGCGTAATATAAATAGCGTACAGCAGTGTGCATATGCAAAGGGTGTGTTTGCTGTTTGCAGAGAATGTCAGATATAGCGCATTTGTATCAGAATATGCATCGTGAGGAGAGCTAGAACCTCACATGGCTATGTCTCCCAGGAACCTTTCATACTCAAGTGGACATGCCACATACTGAAGCAACCGAGTGATCTCTTCAAAGTGGGAAGTTTGATATAGATAGATCACCGAATTATCATCGCTATCAAATAAGCACCGACTGCCACTCCAAGTAGTGCATTGTACACTTTCGTATATATTCTACTAAAACCCTGGTTCAAGAACAAGGGGAAGGAGAGTCAAGTCCGATATATTGCCCTAAATAGCAGAGAAACCAATAGAGCCCCCTAAACAGAAACAGAGATTGAGTAAACGGCTAATCTTCCATATCGAAAACCGAAATATCCGCTCCTGTGTTTAAAAAATCGAACGCAAATAAAGAGTCATCTTCAGTTCGTGAACCAGGATCATGATACACTGCAGGAATATCCAGGTATTCTTCTTGGCAGGACATCCTTGGTCTCTTGGTCAGATGGTCCGCTTCCTCAGACTGTCGCTTATGTTGAACAGGCCAGGACATTAAGACTGGGGTGTTGTTCAGTCCGATGCTTTGACCCACGTTTGTAAACCACGGTGAGCCGCTGGCCGGGTCCTCTATTGGCTGAGTAAATGGCAAGAGAAGAGAAGAATTTGATACGGCTTCACTGATAGAACTAACTGTTGAAACGTTCTCGGGACCTGGTGGTGTGTCTCTAAAAGAGCTCACCACACTTTCCTGTAAAGAGCTGGATGATCTTGTTGAATGCAGGCTTGGCAGGTCGTTGAAGGCTAAAGAAGGGGTGTTGTTTGCTTCAGGCGATCGTTTCTGGCGCACAACTCTAATCAATAGACCCAGTATCCTACTGAAACCTAATGCGAGGTTGTCAACATGGGCTTGCTCGGCAGCCGTTGCAAATCGATCCCGAAGAGCTTCCAAAATTGTTATTTCCTCTTCTGGCCGACCGGGGGTGCCATCCACTTCTCCTATTGGCTGCAACAAGGTATCTTTAGCAACGATGAAAGCCGCCGCTAGTGGGAAAGTTGCAGCCAACCGAGGAAGGGATGAGGCCGCAGACTCATCATTTTCAGACAAAGCAGGTTGATTTCGAGAATTTCTTTTCGTCTTTCTGGAGCTAGGTTGGTCGATAGATTTGTGCTGGCCTAGTATCTCTTTCAAAGTCTCCAAAAGGCGCACATCTGGCTTTGCAGCTGTGGCCAGTAAGAAGATAAGACAGCATGCTTTGGCATCCTTGAACGGCTGGGTAGATCTCATGTCACCATTATCTTTGCTCAAACAGATTCTCGTTGCGAAGAAAGATAACATGAGAGAAAACGTTTCAGTGGACGTCAAAGCCCTCTGCATGATGCTATGAGTCGAAGACCACTGTTCCAGTCTTTGTTGTAACTGTGCCGGTACCTGGTGGTGTCTCGAATGATGTAAGTTGGGTGCACCGGCCGCATGGAAGGCCTGATAAACTTCATCCTGAAGTTTCGCAAGCTCTAGGCGGGCTAATAAATCGGGTGTTCCTGTTCCGGCTTCGTCAAAGGAAGGGGGGATGCCGGAATCATAACCTGGTAGCCAGGTTGTGGACCCACGGAATATTGCGATATTTTTATCTCTGATATATAATGATCTAAAAACCTTGTGCCGTTCCAATATGTCCTCGGGTGGGAGGCCATCGAAAGATGCATTGCTTTGATGAAGGCCCATGGTGCGAGCCAGCAGACAGGCTTGGGCGAAGACGAGTTCTGCAAGCGAAGTCGTGCTGTACTGCTCGGCCACGTAACTCTGCCGCAACAGTCAGTTCAGTTTCGCAATAAAAGCCAAGATATATCTTACCAAAAGAGCAAGTGCTTGGACGTTAACGAGCCTTGGCGTTAAGAATACTCGAGGGTTATTAACAGCCATTTTCAATGTCTGTAGAAGTGTTTGGACAAAGTGACTGTTGCCCTGAATCGTGGGTTCTTTCTTGATGCCGAGAAGAACAATCACATTGAAACAGACAGCCCAGCCTTCATCTGCAGGCCCAATAGGTTGTGAATAGATTCGGTCGACGTGGGGTTGGAAATTAGATCGCACAAAGACATCAGTTGCATAATCGACATTCTTGAAGAAAGGGCCGATGACAAGGTTGAGAAACTGTCGAGGTGGGAGACATATACCGACAGGATGAGACAGCATGTCTAAGTGAGGCTCGTTACTTGCTTCATTGAGCATCTCTTGCAACATCATATGCTCAGAAACTGCATTTTCCCCAGAGGTATTGTTCTCCGAAACAGAAAATAATGAGTGGTCGCTAAATTCCTTGCAAAGGGCATAAAGGGAGCATGGTCCATGATAACGATCAAGTGATTGTGATGTGTTTCTGACAATATGACGGTTTGTGTGAGGGGTTGACGTCGAATCCGTCCCAGAATGGTTCTCGGGGATCCATTCCTCAGCAGGAAGGGATAAGGATCTTACACTACTCCCACCTTTGACAAGTGATGTCAAGTCTGAGAGATCATTTTGGATGCTGTGCAGTTGGCCTTCGAGCGTCTCAAAGTTTTGACATCTGAAACACAAATAGTTTTGTAAGCCTTTGTGCACCAGCCATGGGGGAAACAAATGGCGCTTCCAGACTCACAAGAGTTTGACATGATTGACGCGCTTGCCGGGAGACGAGTATCGACATTCAACACCGTCTCGCTTGCAACTTTCACACTGCGGCCGTTCTCTTCCACATCTAATTTTCCGTGCTCGGCAGTGCGCACAAGCCAAGTCGTGTGTAGACCACATCTGCGGCTGTTTCCTTTCTCGTCAGTCAATGCTAGCAAGTTCATTGATGGTTTCAAACAAACCTCTTTACCCTGGTTATTCCACATTTTGTTCTTGGTTGCAGTTTCAAAAGAGTCAAAGGTTCCGGGATTTGATCTGTTTTCAATGAAGGATACAAGGATATAGATGAGTGGCCAAGCACTGGATGCATACAGTCATTTGACAGGTCTGAAAGAGGGGGAGCAGGTTCGTTAGGAGGACAAGAATCGCGGTACGACAACCGATATCATTACGTGAGAAATTATCTTAAGAAACAGGTCAGCGATAGGTTCAACGAGACAGTTAACTTCGAGGAAGATGTGGAGGTCTTGTCTCCCCCACGGCAAGACAGTGGCTTGCTCACTGGCACAATGATGATCAAGGCCGCGATACCGTCAGCTCCATCGGTACAAGCATACAAACCCGTGTACATCCATGGGAGCTTAGTCGATGGATTCGAGGTTACACACTTCGTCATATCGTAGGTAACCCCGTACGTCTTTGCCTAGTTATTGGTATCGCTACATCTTGCGTATGGGCGCCGGACTCGGGGGGGGCGTTCTGATGGTAACACAGAAATGTCTTGCAGAAAATTGACGCTAGAGGCTTAACAAGGGGGGTATTAGAGGGCTCGTGTTTGTAAGAAAACAAAGGATTACAAAGATGAATTCTTCACTTGTCTTTGATGGAGATTGAGATGTAAGGTACTAAGGTATGAGCCAAGTTCAGCAGTCAGCTTTACCCTGATGAAAGGAAGGTACGGATGTACTTCCTACTTACCCGTAATTTCCATTGAGTTAGGTAGTACTGACCAAAGCTAAGGGTACTCCTTCCAGCATTGTAACTCGACGTGGAAGTAGCGGGCCAAGCACCTTCCTTTCAGATATCAACCTTAAGGTAGGTACGACTTACACAGTGGAGGCCCCCACAATTACTTAAGATTTTGCGTCACATCAAACTCAGGCTTGATGATCTTGGCACTTTTGTCCTTCTTCATTTTCCATCAACAAGGCTCGAACAACTCATTGGAGACTTGACAATTGTCGACTTTACAAGGATCCTCCGTTTTTGCATACACGAAGCAAACGACAGCCTATGATAATTCGTGGTGCTCATCCTTGCCGCGGCGGGCTAGAAAAGCTGAAAATTGCACTGCCAGCAGATGTTTCACACACATGCTACAGGACCAAATATGGCGCTATGCATCCTTTGACAGGCATCCTGCATTCACAATACCTGGTTTACTCTGCACACGCCTCCATTTCACAGTCAGAGAAATGGCCGAGGAGATCGCCCGAGAGCAATGGAATACGCAATCGATCAACTCATGCTTGTCCCGATTTCGAGTTTCGAGATCCCAAAGATCTGGGCCATTGAACATCGTGTATCACCATAGTAGCTCAACTTCTTCTCCGTGTCCTGTGCGACATTCTCGAGGGTCTGTCTTGAACTACTCAATAGCTTAATCTGATTCTTGACTACGACCCTATTTATGTAATTGGGTGAGAACGATACGAGCATTACAATTGGGTGGACCTTTGCGACACGGCAAGGCTGAGCTGCTGTTTGTCATCCCGAAATATTCTTCAGGTCGAACCAGTCGGAACTGCAGGCAGCTTAGTATGGTAGAGCCGCGCACCGGGGCGGAATGTTGGAATGATGTAACACTGAACATGCTTAAAAAAACGATAAGCATGAGCACAAAGATACCGAAGCCAGCTCACCGAAGACTTCAGATGGTGAAACCAAGCGTCTGACAATGGCCGCAGTCTCTTATCATAAGCAAAGAATTGCTTTTCAAGAATGTTTTAAAAGAAGAATACAGTCAAGGACAAGCTTTCTGTGTAATGGAACGACTAAGACCTCGTTCAGAGGCAGTTTTTTTTTCAACGTCCCATGCCAGATCAGCCTAGCGAGTTTCACGGGGAGACGTATTGAGTGAGCATTGTATCCATGACCGTTTGACGACGAAACGAGACGGAGATAGAAGAGACAAAAGGGAATTTTCGTCAGATAACCAGAAAAGCCCCCCATTTCCTCCTCATGGAATTGTTGGAGTGCCACACGGGGATCTGCTGGCGGGATCCTTGCATGCTGATCGACAGCCATTACAACTCGCATCGACAATGATCCGGAGGCTGCTTTTGATATCCCCAACGAGGATAGTTGAACTTCTCGAAACTTCTAAGGGCAAACGGGATCTTGAAATTCCGGTGAGGGCAAGCTGGTTCGAATGACTTCGCCAGTATCAAACCAGCACCGGCTGAATAAATAAGCTTTTGGTTCGGGGTATTTCAGACACGCCAAGACTGCCTGTTCCGTATCGAAGATATGAGTCCTCATTTTGCATATACGGCATGCTGCTCACTGAATGGACTGATGAGGATAATCACCGATATCTTTAATGCTGCCGCAATGGGAATGGGAACATCCACCACGTGGAAACGAGGCCGAAGTCTATCGGGCACGCCTACACACATTGGACTCAGGTACTGAGAGCTGCCACCAGTAAGCCAAGGATTAATCCTGCGTTAGGGGGAGCTGATGAAATTGAGGGTGTGGTGGCTGACAATTTACAACATCACGACAACAACTAAGTGAATACAGACAACATCATCAAAAGAAACATACGGACTGGGAGAAAATGAACAAAGTTTCATCAGTCTTACTCCCATAACCCATGGGCTCCGTTCCCAAACATCAGCATAAGTGGGGATCAAATATCCAGTCATACCGAAATGCCGGCCGCCGGCTTACACGGCCTTCCTGATACATTGGTACGGATTGCCTACATTACAATGGCGGAGCAAATACCTCCGCGCTACAACGGATGAGGCTTACGCGGGAACGGGCCGGTCTGACGCAACATGCGGGTTTTCTCTGCCAGCCTTGGAAGTGTTTCCGAGTGGTATAAACACGCCGACGGGTAACTAGTCAGGTTGGAAGAACTAGCCGGGCACAACCTGGGGCTGTAACCAGTCGGAGATATGCTTACTCCTATGCAACGCGACGACTAGTAAGAAAGCAGCAGGAACAGGGTCTAAGCCGCGAGGCCAGATCACGGCTTACTCGCTCAGCCCTACGAACTGATCAATCAACACCAACGGCATCGATGCCATTGCTGACATGAGGCCTTGATCATTCTACAGTTACTCGACTAGGCAGGTAACGACTCTGGGTATCGAAGCACAACACAACGTCTGAAACGGCATTGTTTCTCACCTCTTCAGAGGATCTCCTTTGGAGAATGATAATCTACAAGGGCAATCATTGCGGACGCCACCTTCAACTCCTTTCATGACGATCGTTGGCTAGGTTTGAGCATGTTTATATCAGACGGACTTTGGGCCTCGGTATCGCGCTCTCGCGCTTTCTTCCAAGTCCGAAGGTTGTTTGACGCATATCAGCTGATGTGGCGTGTATCCCGGTTGCCTTTGAAGACGCTTTATTGTCAAATGATATCTAGGCGGTGATAAGCATCTTGCACTTCTGACCTATAGAATTACATGCCGCTCAATTCTTACACATATTATTTCTTATCTTGGAAAATCTGACTGAAAAATGAGACCCCGTTTGATGGGTTCTTTTGTTTTTTCAAGTCAGATTAGTCAAGAATGGAAAGTATGATGAGTTACATGGGCTACATCGAGAGAAGCATGAAACCCAAGTCACACTCGGCTACAGTTCTAGTGGTCAGTCATCTGTGAGGCAATCTGTGGACATATATTTGTTACTGACGTTCTATGCTTTCAAACTCTCAATGTAACCCAGCGGCTGGTATTGGTATTCTTTGCTTTCTATAGTCTAACCAACTTCAGGGGAATTAGATAGTTTCCATTGTCCATTGTTGGCAGCAACCTTGGAAGCATTACAACGGATCTAGTCACCCGGAGAGAGAACGCAACAAGCATAAATCGGTCCTGACTCAATCTTATGTCCGCGAACTACTTGCGGATATAAACAAAAATCGGCCCCAGATCTCGACGTCAATCTGACAATACCAACAGTGAGCGTCGGCTATATGCTATCCATGAAAGATTACAACCCACCATCTCCAACGAATCGGCCGACTACCACACACCATCTACTTCGTAAGTCTCGAACTCATCTCTGCATAGATAATGCAACATTTGCTGTCAATAGTTGCTTCATGAACCCCATGTCTATCTCTCCAAGCAATGTCGCACAAGATTGCGCGCGACACGGCAAACTTGTTCTCGCCGATCCCGATTCTCTGTGCAACTCGCCCCAGAGCCCACCCGCCTTTCGGTCATTGCTGGCTATGGTATCAGTAATCCTAAGCGGGCAAAGAGGAGACCAGACCTTCCGGGTTGACGAGATGTGCCCCCACGAGTATTTGAGTGGTAGGGAGACTGACGTGCATATCATTGACGGGTTACTACGTTGTGATGTCACGACACAACTGCAAGAGTTGGCAGGGAGATGCTAAGTGATGCATGTTTCTCTGGTTATATGGATGCTGTGGAGTGTGTTCATGCAGTATCACCAAAGAAGTTGTCGACAGGTCGACGATAATCGGACATAGAAGATCCCCTGATCTCATATGCCAAAGCACCTTTAGTTGGTCTCAGTAGGTGAGATAAACATATGGATTCAGTCAACTGCTAAACCCTGATAAAATTCAGAATAACCCACAGAGCCAAGTGGTATGCGAACTTGGGTGCAAATGTCTCTACCATGGCAGCGGAAGCGATCCCAGTCATGACAGTCCAAGCGCACAGCAGAATGCAACGCGGTGATCTTGCTGCAACCTGTGTATCTTTCCGTATGTCTGGAAGACTCATGTTGGCAATGATCGTAGCTCTTCTCCCCGGTCTCCCAAAACTGTCAAAGCCCCGTTCGGGGAGGTAACAATGAGGCGTTGTTTAAGCTACGCACTGAGACATACAGACGGCATTATATCGGCATATGTTGCAGCTCCGATATTATACGGATATCACATATCGAGTTTTGCTTCAACTGAAACATCAGAATTCCGCCAGTCTATTGTTTCGTTGATTCTTGTTAGCATCTACCCCTGAGCAGGCAAAATTCATATGCTCCCTATTCGTTATCTGAAGTCAAATGGCATCCTTTGGACGAGCCTGTCTTTGTACTTCTTTATCGGAGATTATATGACACGACATATTCTCTCCTCCAATTCAGGGTCCACGCAGCATAACGCTGCATAACCAAACCCCTGTCTCTTCCCTCGCCATCAGTTGCCTTTATAGCGTCTCACAACTTAGCGGCGATCTCGAGATACTCTCTCCTCTCCTTCAATCGGCGGGTAAACGATGGGGCTCTGTTTGCGATCTGCCCAAGGTGCCGAGTTACACAATCTGCTTTGTGAGAGGATAACCCCATATCCTGGATGAATGACACTTTGATAAAATGATGTGCTTGTCACTTGCAAATGTTTCATATGTCAGATCGACGATCATATGCTTGTTTTCTGGTAACATGTCTCGGTCAAGTCAATGGGGTAATTGATTATGCTGAGGAACAATGTTGATCACTTGGCTCATGTAATGGTCATACTCAACCAAACTGGTAGCCAAACACATGTATATTGCTTCACAAAATCAAGCGTAACTATGAAAGATCCTATTCGTATGGAAAGGTTTTGAGCTATCTGTAACAGAAGATCACCCAAGCTCGGAGTATGCTTGTTCGATATTAACCACACCTAAGTCCTTTGAGACCCCTCCATTATGATACCAGACCTTCAAATACAGAGGAAGCATTATTCAGCCATCTCATACTTCACAGTTACATCTTAGAAAGAAAGACCCCTCATAAATCAGAAATGGACTCTTTTATAGGCCTGATCGAATAATCTAAGCACCGGTTGTGGTTGTGGTAGCGGCGTCAACAGTAGTAGTTGCAGTCGTAGTGCCCGCGGGGCTAGCCGATGAAGTCGTAGGAGTGTCATCGACGGGGGCACCATCGACAACAGATGAAGATGATGTGGTAGCTGCTCCAGTGGCAGAAGCAGTAGGGTCAGTAGTAGCGCTTGTAGTACCTGCTGCTACCACGGTTGTGGTAGTGGCAGCTTCAGTAGCTGCTGCAGAGGTAGAATCAGAAGAGGCCAGTGCTGGTGAAGACGTTGAGGCCGAAGCAGTATCCTCGCTTGTAGCGCTCGTAGTTCCCGCTGCTACCACGGTTGTGGTAGTGGCAGCTCCAGCAGCTGCGGATGTAGTGTCAGAGGAAGCTGCTGCGGGAGATGAAGTCGCCGCCGAAGCAGCAGTCTCGCTAGTAGCGCTCGTAGTTCCTGCTGCTACGACGGTTGTAGTAGTTGCTGCTCCGGAAGCACTGGTTGTGTCCGAAGAAGCAGGGGCTGCTGAAGCGGCGGGAGCAGATGAAGGAGTCACGCTGGCGCCATCAACAGTGGATGTCACAGTGGCAGTAACAACTACTGTAGAAGTTGAGTCAACAGTGTCAGTCACTACAGAAGTCGCATCGACAGTCGCAGTCGCAGTGCTGGTCTCTGTAGATGTCACATCGGTGGGGGTTACTGTAGCTGTTACAAAGACAGTCTCGGTTGTTGTTACAGTGTTTGTGCTTGTCGCAGTAGAATTGACAGTTGCAGTAGTGAAAACAGTGTCCGTCTGGAATGCTGTTGCCGTCATGTTAACTGTGGCAGTACTGTTGACAGTTGAGGTCACGGTATCAGTCTCAAATGCGGTGGCTGTAGTGTTGACAGTCGAGGTCACAGTATCAGTCTGGAAGGCAGTGGCTGTGGTGTTGACAGTTGAAGTGACAAAGTCTGTTGCAGTCGTGTTGACTGTTGCGGTAGTGAAAGCCGTATCTGTTTCGAAAGCAGTGGCTGTAGTGTTGACGGTAGAAGTGACGAAATCCGTCGCTGTAGTGTTTACGGTAGCAGTGGTGAGAACCGTATCAGTTTCGAAAGCAGTGGCTGTGGTGTTGACAGTTGAAGTGACAAATTCTGTTGCAGTAGTATTCGCCGTTGCAGTTGTGAAAACTGTATCAGTCTCGAATGAAGTTGCAGTGGTGTTGACAGTGGCAGTAGTGAAAGCTGTATCAGTCTCGAAAGCAGTGGCTGTAGTGTTGACGGTAGAAGTGACGAAATCCGTGGCCGTGGTATTTACAGTTGCAGTGGTATCAACAGTTGAAGTAACGAAAGCCGTGTTGGTCTCAACTGTTGTAGACGTGGCATTGACAGTTGAGGTAGCGTTCACCGTAGCAGTGGTGAGAACCGTGTCAGTCTCAAAGGCTGTCTCTGTAGCATTGACAGTGGAAGTCTGAGTGACGGTGGTTGAGTTTGTGACAAAGACAACAGTTGTGGCAGTAGCCGCTTCTGTGGTGAAGTCAGTCTCTGTGGACGTGAATAGCACCGTGGAGTTGACTGTAGCAGTCTCGGTGCTGGTCTCGACATCAACCTCGGTGGTTGTGAACACAGCTGTGTTGTTGACAGTGTCAGTCTCCGTGCTGGTGACCTCCTCTGTCTCTGTAATGGTGAAGACAGCAGTAGAGTTGACAGTAGCAGTTGTGGTGGCAACGTCCACATCAGTCTCTGTAGACGTGAAGACGACCGTTGAGTTGATAGTAGTAAACTCAGTCTCTGTGGCGTTGACAGTTGCGGTACTAGTCGTAGCAATAACATCCACCTCTGTAGAGGTCACCACGGCCGTTGAGTTAACGGTATTGGTCTCAAACACAGTGTCTGTAACGGTGTCCGTCGCCGCATCAGTGACATTCAGCGTCGCGGTAGTAGTCACATCGAGGGTTGCGGTTGTGATGCTTGCTAAGGTGTTCTGTAAGTAGATGCTCTGTATCTTTGACGACTCTTTTGCTACTTACCCGGTGGGCAGGGGACTGCAAGGGCAGACTCGACTGCCAGAAGGCCGAAGCCCACCAGAGTATTGAAACGCATTGCTTCGGGAGAGCTGTGTCGTGTAACAGAGGTTCAAAGGAGGTTGATAGAGAAGCAAGGACCTCAAAGGGTTCATGAGACTTTATAGAAACATGGTCACTTGATCCTGCGAATGGGACGCCTTGTCCGATTGTGTTGTGAGTTGAGGGCCATGGCGTCTACTTCCCCTCAATAATCGGACCATATAGAAAGTTATTTTCCTTTTGTTTTGAGCCTGAGATCTTTTCCCGCCAATTCTTGGCTCTCCATTCCTGTTTGTTGTTGAAAAGATGTTTACGGCGTTCGCATATTGAGTTGGTTTTGGCCGAGAATATATTCCATACGGGAAAGAGGCTGATAATAAGATTATTTGAATAATAGCAATCGATTGCACCTTGCGTTGAGGCTGAACCTTGAGGAATACTCTATGCGGAGATGTCGAGTATTTGAGGTTCTCGAGGATGTGATATGCCTGGGTGAGATTGGAGACTACCTACTTATGATAATGATATTTCGATACAGGTGTGCAGTTTCCCAACCTGGAATATACTTAGAGCTTCTAGACTTTAGAGTGTTCCTTCCTATGTTGTTTGAGTTCTTTGTGATCATTGAGTTGAAGGTGGAGGGAAGGTTGAGGTTAACCAGATTAAAGTGGGACGCCTTCCGTCGTTCACAAACTGAGTTCTCCGTCCGTTAGGCCCCACCCCGCTCCGGGGCCCGGGTCCGATATTGACAAGTACCACCAACCTGAATGGTGCTTTAACCTACCTAAACAAAGCACAATTACTTAGTCCATTGGGAAATTGAGTTCATAATGCAGCTTATAATTGGGTGCGCTCTCGTATAAAAGTCATCTCTTATGCTTTTATGTTGGCTTTAAACATTCAACGCCGAAAGTCAACAGCCGCGCGGTAGATTTCAACAGACTTATGGCCACATGCCGTTCTGTTGAGAGAATATCAAGCCATGAAGAGGCCAATCAAGGGGCGGATAACGTCTGTAGAGTTCGTGCCTCCAGATATACACGAAGCAGTTAATGTCAAGACTACCTATAGAGTGGATATTAACCTATACCCGTCACGTTTTGGAGCATCATTGGCGGGGAGAATAGAATCTATCCGCATTGTCTGTTTAATAGTAGGAGAAATCTCGATTGGGACAAGACTCGATAATGCTATCAACTTATCAAAGACGCAGAGATAGTATTTCGTCATTCGGACTTGCAGATGCTGACTAAATGAATTAGCCTGCCCCTCCCCCGCGTTTTAGGACATTTAATGAAGCTGTCACCTCATCTTGAAGCTACTGGACCAAGCTACATTCAACATAACATAACACGGTCAAGAACTCACAATCCCTTGTATCAACGCCCAAATCTTCTCTCCACTGGCTTTTAATACGCCCGTCACGAATATTTATTATTTTATTACTGTGTTTTCTGTTGTTAGTGGGTGACATACCCGTTGTCTATCGTATCGCCACCTCTATCTTATGCAACCTGAGCTCAGAGAGCCAGAGTCTATGATGACGACTCACGATAGCTTCATCGATGTTCTACCAAATGAAGTGAATTTTCACCAGAAAACATGAGGCATTTTGAGAATTGACTTTCTTTTAGACTCTCACCTCAATCTTGGCCCCCTTCTCAACTCAAGATTTACTCTCCTTCGCCCCGATTAACCGCCGCATCTGCTCTCTTGTCACTCGTCTCCTTCACCAACGCCTGCTTCAAGCTGCGCCTCTTCCGGACAATAAGCTTATTTTAGAGTGCTACCACCCAAGCGATCAGCTTTACACACCTTATTTGGCATGTCGCTATCAAGGTATTGTTGGGCAAGACGGCCAGCCCATCAGTGAAGATAAGTCCGAGCTGTCTGACCTGAGAGCGTTGTATGCCTCTTATAAGCCCGTATTCGCTCCCGAGAACCGAAGTATCAAAAGGAGCCGAAGACGTCCCACAGAGGCGCAGCCCTCTGATGATGTTGAAGATGATACCGCCACTCAAGATGTGAACCTTGATGATGGGGAAATGTTCTCTCAGCTTTGTGCTGTTACGAACCTTGTCAAGGAGGGTCCAAGGAGTGGACTGTTCATAAGCCATGTTAACATTGTCGATGGGGTCATCCGCGTCTTCCGAAAGTGGCTCGCCAAGATGGCCAGCAGACAGAACAAGTCTCAGTCCGACTCTGAGAATATTATCTGGATTGATACGCACAATAAAGTTGGGATACGATTCAGCGTTGCACCGGCAGCATCTGAAACGATACCACTGATTTCGGGTCCAGATGATGATCCGCCAGTTCACTACAAGCTTGTATATGAAGGTATGATTCTAGTTCATGATTGCGTGGCATATGCTGATTACTGATAGAATTGCTCGTAAGAACGAGCAGTCTTCTCCTGGCTGTGGAGCAGTCTGCAGTGCAGGAAATTGGAAACTCTGGAAAGACTCTTGTGATTCACGGCGCAGCCATGTAACCGAGTTGACTGCATAAAGACACTTGTAAATGACTGTTTCTCTTTGAGAGTTCAAAGATATGATTTCAGTTGACGTTTCGTGCCACTTGCTACTTATGGATGCCCAGTTATCGTCAAGTCTAGTATTCTAGTCTACCTAGATTGCGACACACACATCGCCACTCATCACAAGCCATAAATCTTATCATCGTACATATAGACCACACATAAGAAAAGGGTCCCTTCTAAAAATATCCCCCTTCAAAGACTCGCCGATCTCTTGCCCGGCGCCTCTCCCATTCTTCGCAGCTCAACGTCACTACCGGAGTCTGTGTCGTCCAGGAAACTATCGCCGCTTCTACCAACATGCTCATCATGCTCAACTCGCGTCTCGATCATCTCTCTATCCAGGGCCTGAGGGTGGCGTAGGTTTCTGTACCACTCTCGAAGAGGTTTCCCACTCGTCACAAAGAAGATAACCGCGTTCCAGAGTCCTTGGAGGGGAAGGACAGCGGCCGTGGCGACGTGGTACTCGTAGGGAGAGGTACCGACGAGCCAGCTGTGGATGCGGTTCAGACTGCTCGGGATCCAAGTCACCAACACACTAAGGGCGAAAAGGAAGCTCGTGCGCAAGTACGCCCGCTTGATGGGATCGTCGATGACGAATTTGTTGACGGTTCGGTTTGTCGCTGATGCTATGCGACGGAGAGGGGATATGCTAGTTCGCTCTCGCTCTCTGCTGTCAATACCAGGAGATATAGAGGTCGAAAAGTAGTGACTATGAGATCCCTGCACGACCTGTGGGTTCTCGTCAAAGGAGACTTGAGGTGACGATGGACCAGCAGTGTAAGCAGGCTTGGGTTCACTGGGGAGATGGTTCGCTGAGGGTGTTGAGTGAACGACCTGGACTTCGGTGACGATAGTGCCGTAGAAACAGTCTTGAGGAACCGAAAGGAACTCTACTTGACGTTGCTGCCAAGTGTTAGCTAGATAGTTTATGTTATGTTAATGTCAGGCAGACTTACAGCTTGGGGCTGGGGTGGCTCAACAGGAGCTGGCTCTCTGCTCCTTGAAGCAGTCAAACTCCTGAGTTGGTTCCGAGTATGGAAGACATGATATCCAACCATGAAGTAGAAGATGATCGAACCAGCGATGCAGACCCAGACGAGCATATAGTAGGTATATATACGGATGCCTTCCCAATCCTGGTTAACCCAGCACCAGATCTGTCATCGAGTCAACAAACAATGCCCCCTTTGTTCTGATACCGAGGGCAGACTTACAGTGGCCTCACCAAACACAAGGCCGCGGTTGGGGGTTCTAACCACAAGCAACGCCATGGCAATAGCAAAAGGGCCACCGTAACAAATGAGACAATATATCCACCACCATCTTCGGAATGAGTCGGGTTTGGCGCGGAAGAAGAAGACGAGGAAGACGTTGAATGCCATGGCCAGAGACCACCAAGGATCAGACTGCATGAACCTATATGAGGTCAGTGATAACAGAATGAGAATGAGATTATGAGAGGCAACTCACATATGAAACATGAAACTCTGTGCCTGACAAAGAGGTGAAGCGACGCCTAGTTCCAAGCCATCCAAGGCGATGATACTCGCAACACTGGCACCAACATTGGCGACACTCGCAAACACGATGAAGGTGTTTTGAACATTTCGAACTTTGGGTACAAGCGCATACGCGACGAAGATACAGAGGACAGCGACCAAGCTGACAGAGCCTCCTATGCGCTCAAACAGCACCAGTGTCGTCCTCTGAGTCGGTTCGAGTTCAACAGGCATGCCTCTCTTCGTGAAGAACTGGTGACTCATTTTTTATAGGTGGTGTTTTCTCGTTTCCCGAGTCCCCGAGTAAGGGAGTGGGGGAGCGAGTGCAAGAAGCAAAAGAAATGATTGGTATGAAGCAAATAAAAGGTAAAGGGTTGAGGATAAGGAGAGCGGAAGAGAAGAGAGGGAGAGGGAGAAGAGGAGGAGTGTAGTGAAGTGAGGTGAGGTGAAGGAGTGTCAAGTGATGCCCTTTTTTGCGTAACTTGTTGTTTAAATGTACAAGACGAGAAGAGAAATGGACGATAGCACAAGAGAGTGTGAGAGGGAAAAGAGAAGAGAACAGAAGAGGGATAACAATCAATGGTTTGAGAGAGTCGTCCAAAGAGGGCCAAGGTCGAAGCGTCGTGTTACATTAACGCGATGCAAGCACCCGCGTCTGCCGTTGCCGTTAGACGAGGGATCTTTTGCCTCTTTATGTTTTTGTACGGTGAGAGGATGATTGTGATTTCTCGACAAGCGAACACTTGGCAGAGAGAGAGAGAGAGACAGATGCAGACTACAATAGCCAGCCTGCTTGTTAGAACGTGTTAGTTTGACCAAACATGCCATATACACATTCTCTTTCTTGGCTCTGCGACTTGCCTTTTTCTCATCTGCCAATCCTTTCGAGTTGTCGCCCTCCAGAAGAAAGAAATATCAGAGAGTGAGTAAATGTGTGTTGTGTTGTCTCTTTTGAATTCCCACCAACGCTTGAATTATAATGTTGGCTAAAGTGCCTAAGGCTTTGCAGTGTCAGTGACACTGACACTGACACTGATGGCCAAAGCACCCTCTCTCTCTCTCTCTCTCTCTCTCTCTCTCTCTCTCTTTAGAAGACACAACTTAACTCGAGATAACCCATATCTTGATAATAAAAACGTCACCAGCTGTTAATCACTGTCAGTCACTGTCACGCTCACATCGGCCAACACTAACATTACACTATCCACCAACACCCATTTCCCCCAGATTCTCATCCCCAGATCTGTCCCATGCCCCTTTGATAGTCTCAAGTTTCAACAAAAACGGTCAGTCCATACTAAAAGCGGTGATTCAATAGGGCGAATACTCGACTCCTTCTATGCAGTGTTGGTCCTCTCTACGATCCAAACACACAAACAAAGGCGCCCCTCGAACGAGTCTCGACGTTGCATCTTCCACCCCGCGATCTGAGGCTTAGTCTTGGCATCGCCTGTGCGTTTCGTTAGTCTCGATCTACAAATATGGAGGTATGTAGATGAGATGGCATGGTCCCAACTCTCAGCCTCCCCGGACTCGGAGAGACCTAGCTTCTCCTAACTAAATCGAAATGAAGAGTCCTACTCCGCATCTGAGCTAACATTGATTTTTAACCGAGCTTCAGTCCCATTCAATTGCGGTGAGAGAGGGAAAAGAGAAACATGGGCTTCAATTTCAAGGCTAGAGCTGTAAGCTCCCGTGGGCTGAATCAGAGTGTGACATCACCAACACCTTTCTCGGCGCAGACTCGAGCTCGATCAGCCCTTTACCCGCTGACGAGGCTCGGATCTCTATCGTTTGGAGCTGAGCTAATTATGAAACGTGGCGGGTGGCTGCTGCGACAAACAATAGCCTTGATCCAATTACTCTCCTCTCCTTGGCACATCCAATGTATGTCTAGGCAATATCTATGTCTGCATCGCATAGGCTATTCTATTTCAGGTGCCGGGGCCGACTTGGTATAGGTCAGCAGATCGATCTGCATATCTGCCCTGTTTGTTTGTGTGCTTGCTTGCTTCTTTTCTCTGGCTGGCTGAATCTCAAATCAGGCTCTGGAATGCTATGCTCACCTACTTTTCTAGAACATACAAAACTCATTCAATTGGCTATCTCAAGGACAAACCCACATCACAGTTTCTCATCTGCAACTCTCGCATGAGAGAATTATGCACACAGCCGTCACAAAATTGAAGAGAAAGAGAGACAAGTCAGCCAAGTTAATAAGTTAATGGATCGATTGAGCTCAGCGCCACTTTACAATCTAGCTAACAAAAGAGCTCAAAAACTATAAACCCTGTATAATACCATCCACTACTAACAATCCTCCTATTTCTGACGTATCGTAAAAATCATTACAGTGTGTAAAGGAAATCGGGTCGCTTATCTCCCATCTCATGGATCTCCGCCTCAGACTTGCCCTCCACAAGGTGATCCCGCTCACCAGCCAACCGCGCCTTGTTCTCACGCGAGAGCAAAACATACATCAACAGACTTCCACAAAAGATACCACCAAACATGTAGGCAAGAACAGTTCCGTGTCCTGGGTAGAATCGTGGACCGTTGATGAAGACGTTGCTGCTCACAACACCGTTGAGGTTGCCCCATCCTATGACAAACCCAAGAGTGATGCCTCGCTTGTAAACACCCTCAACATTGTTGGCGACCCAACTGATTGTGATTGGAATGACAGGGTAGATACCCAGGGCACCCAGGAAGCACCCAGTGTACTGAACAGCAGGGTTGGTAGAGGCGATAAGCATGATGAAGCCAGCCATACCGACAGGGGCAGCGCACAGGTTGAAGATACCTCGCTTGTTGAGTCTGTCGGAGTACATACCAACGCAAATAGTAACAACTGCGGCCAAAGCGTAGGGTGGTACGCTGAGAAGCTGGTTCTTGACAACGGCCTTCTTGTCGGTGAAGGCCATGTTCTGGATGATGGTAGGCAGGAAAACGCTGAAAGAGTACAGGGGCATCAGGGGTCCCATGTAGATGAGCATCCCGCAGTAGGTCTTCCAGTCAGTGATGGACTGCCAGAAGTACTTCATCTTGAATTGTTCGTCCTGGGCAGAAGATTGCTTGTCGGCGGTGAGTCGATAGATGACACGAGCTCGTTCCTCTTCGGTGATAAACTTGGCATCGGTAGGGAAATCGTGGACCATCCAGAACGAGATAATGCCAACAATGATGGTCATGAGACCTTCAAGGATGAAAATCCATGCCCAGCCGGCAATACCGGCGACACCATCCATTTTCTGGATAGCAGCAGCCAAGAGACCACCGAAAGAACCGGCAAGTGCTGCAGCTGAGAAGAACCACGCGGCACGAGCACCGAATTCGGATCGCTTATACCAGCAGGAAAGGTAGTAGTTAATTCCGGGGAAGAGGCCGGCTTCTGTGACACCAAGGAACCATCGAGCAGCCATGAGGCCGTCCCAGGTCTTGACGAAGCCCATTCCCAGCATTGAAGCACCCAAGAGAACCCTGAATACGAATTAGTTGTGTTCTAGTGTTTTACTGAGGGTTTGAACTCACATGATTGCAGGAATGAAGATGGATGGCTTGGACCACTTGAGAAGGACATTGGCAAGAGGCTCAAAGACAGCGTATGAGATGTAGAAAATGGTCAAAGTCAGGTTAAAATGATGACTGTCCATATGTATGTCATCCATTAAACCAGCGATCTTTGCATTTCCGATATTGGTTCGGTCGAGGAAGCAGATGAGGTAAAGTAGACAGAGCTGGATTGTGGTTAGTAGGTTATATTTTATATAGTGCAGAGTTGTCATACCCAAGGAACGAGTTTCATATCAATCTTTCGAAGCAACTTCTTCTCCTGAAACCTTGTTAGTGCAGATCATCAAACATTTGTTTCAATGCCACTTACAGCTTCTCTCGCCTCTTCCTCAGTAAGTCCAGCATAAGGGTCATTAACGCCAGCAAGATCAACCTCCGAGGTAGAGGCCTTCTCCTCCAAAGTTTCCTTTCGATCGTAGTCGCTCATGATGAAGGAATCCAAAACACAATCGAAGGATCTGATAGACAAGGGTCGTAGGTAAGGTAATCTATCGTAGGATCACACGAGAAGGTGATGGGTAGAAGTAGGGCCGGCTTCTAAAAAAACGTGGTGGGAAGGAACTGATGGAGGACAAAGGATGCAGAGAAGCAACCAGCCGAGACAGAAGGGGAGGAAGGAACCTAAGAATGGGAGGCTCAAAAGAGGAGCAAGGTGGTATCTGAGCAACAGAGCCTCGTCAATATGAGAGACAAGACAGAAGGAGCTGTAGGGCCAAATCAAGTCAAGTCAAGTATGGAAGGCAATGCCCGAACCCCAAACGCGGGAGTGACGGTGCAGGTGCAACAAGGGGGAAGGAAGGAAACCCTCTTATTTGCGTGGGTAGTATCAACGAGGCGAGATGGAAACGGGAGAAACGAAACAAGCAAAAGAAGAAGCAAGTTTCCAATTCTGACTCTGTTTCTGTTCTTGATGATCGTTGTAGATGCTTGTCTTGTCAGGTAGGATATCTCTTACGGAAAACCTGGGGAAAGTGGCCCTTTTAATAGTCAATTATTCTAACCTCCCCCAGGCTTGAGTCTAGGTATATCCTAGGAAAGCCTCACTTCTCAACGTACTAGTTAGACCCCTAACTCGGCGTGTGGAGAAGTTGGGCGCCCACGTTTCTCGTCTTGAGCCAACGATGGAGGGATGATAGTCTCGTTAGTGCGGAGAGGAAGGAATTGGAGTAGTAGGCAACCATAACATCAACCCTTGGATTCCCTCGTCCCCTCCGTTTGTCCGTCCGTTTACTGCAGCCGACTATACTAACCGACGAACCACATGTCAGAATCTGATCCTTCTCGATGTATCTCTCCTCCACATCTACAGGGTATTGAAAATCTCTTATGTCTCAGAGGGGGGAGGGGGTGCAGAGAAATACTCGCCGCATGAGAATCTTGAGAATCTTGCTTTTCTTTTCCCTCTTGCGGGGGGCTTGGGGTCACCTTTTGCAGGGAATACAATCCTTGCACTTGCACGTCTCCATCAACTTACATACATCCATTGTCCTTGACTTGATATGACTTGACTTGAATTAGTTGAAAATCATTATGGAGCCCGGCAGATGGGCCATGTAACGCCAAACGTGACGCTGTTTTTTGTCTTTTTCTTTCCTTGTGTTTCCGAGGGGCGGCCACGCGAGATGGCGCTCTGAGCGTGTTGGGCCATGTAACTCATGTGCGAGGTGTGAGCGGTGATGAAGGGAAAGGTGAGAGGTGAGAGAGGGATAGAGAGAGTCGGGTCAGACTAGCGAACATGATCACTAATTGGTTTACAGGGCAGTAGATCATCAGGTTCTTTGGTGTAGGTAGTTTCGTTACTGTCAATCATTGGGAATCTCCAATGCCAAGTAGTTGAAGTTTATTTTCCCCAACTTTCTTGGTGATCAGCGCCGTGTCTTCCGAGGACTAAGTTTCTGAGATAGAATTGATCGGTGTACATGTACCATTATTTCGAAGCCTGCTGAAATCGAATCGTGCATGGCATCTCATCTCATGTAGTGTAGTGTCATGTAATGTCATGTTACTGTGTCCCCAGATGAAAGACCTTGTGTTCAGAGATGACGGGGGACGGGCCATGTCATGTCATCCCATTCTTGACACAGACGCAAACATGTCCCTAAAGAGATTCAGATTCAGATTCAGAGTCAGAGTCAGCACGGATTCTAATTCTGGGGCTCACTGATGATCGACTAAACTGTTTGTTCACATCCCTATCCGTATCCCTCCCTCCCTACATTGCCATTGCCTATTATCTTGCATCGGATCCGCTGTTTGTCACTATGCATTAGGTCCAACTATTGGAAGCACGTCTTTCAAAACTATCCTTGTATCCCCTCATCAGTCCCCGTTTTCTCTCCTATATTCGCTGCTCTAAATACAGCCAAGACTTTGTATCTCCATTCTCAACGGCACTTTGAGTTTCCCCTCTTCTCACGGATAAACCAATCAACATACTCTGATATGATCACTCCTTAAGCCAAGATCTTCAGCCAGGGACAAGGAAGAGAGGTCATGGCTTCATTCTAGGCCTGTATTCTCATGCTAACTAACTAGTAAATCGCATCAAACACTTTTGAGTAAGGCCAACGAATCAGAGGCTTTCAAATATGTTTCGTGATACAAACCAACCTTCAAAAGGCTATTCGTTCCCTCCTTTGGTCTCCCCTCCCACGGTATAGCACGGTCCAGTCCCGGTGTTTGCTCCGCACGCTACGGCCTTCCCGCCGGCCCCCGCCACGTTTTTGGGAGTGACATCGCCTGGAACATCAGCCCGCTAAAAACATTTTGGAGACGGTTTAGCGCTAGGGAACCTGCATATGACGCTTCATTTCTGGAACGTGCTCTGAAGCGAGGGAAGAGACTCTGTCCAGTAGTGCTCTTTTGATTCTTCAGCCACGCCGTGGATGCCGTTATTACAGCATGCGAGAGCAGGTAAAGACGGTGAATAGAGATTTCAGCTCGGATACGTACATGTCGAAATGAAGATGTGCAAGGTGCAGTAGTATAATAGTTGACGGAATATACATCAGTGGCTGCTTGGTAATGAGACAAGCAGTAGGCTATCGCTCACCGGTCAAATAGTCCAAATACCTATCATATTTCCACTTATTCTAGGCAGCAATAAACTACAATGCATTATCAGGTATCGAGTATCAGATAATAATCAATTGTATTTTGATATGATAACAGCATCTCATCGTTTACAACGCCCTCAGCATTACCCCATCTTCCCCGCAATCTTCAACTTAGACTACCCGTTCCCCCACTCAAGCCATCCATACCAAAACTTCAAACCCATCTCCAGCTTCTCCGCAGATCCCCTTCAAACTCAAACTCAAACTCAAACTCAAACTCTCAAGATACAATATAACACAAACCGCGCCATTCTCTTCTGTTCTCCTCCGCCTCTCCTTTCAAATCCTCAATTCCTACTGGCTCTTCAATCTCTTCCCCTCAGGGATCCTTGGAGTGGTCTGATGAAAGGGAACCGGCGGCGCGGAGGCCAAAGCCCGTTCAACGCCGTAGCGCCCGGCTTAGTCCCCGGTAGTTGAACATTCTGGATGCCTTCTCCAGGCAAAGTGAGTTGATGAAGCCATCGCGGCGGCCGCGGGAGCCAGCCACGCGGAGATCAAGCGCCGTTTTCTCACCTCCACGCGGCTCCGGATCTCCCCGTTGATGATGTTTCCCCAGAATGGCTTCATGACAGACCAGGTATTCCCCAGGATCTGAGCATCTCAGTGTGAATTCGGGACGGTGATGCCTCCGCATTATGAATCTCACTTCCCCACGATTCTTGACAACGTGTTCCTTGTTATTCAAGGTCCTGGGGATGATGCCACAATGTAGTGAACTAGGCCGTTAAAGGCCATTGTAAGCCCTTGACTCAAGATACCATGAGTAGGTATCGCGGATGAGCAAACCTAGACGACACCATCCAACTTACAAGGTGCCAGGTCAAAGGTGAGGAAGTTGTCCGAAACTCCGGTACCTTATCCTAGAAAACAGCCCATTATTTCGATACACTATTGACTGAATGTAACCACAATCCTTCCAGTCAGATTTTTCTTACCGACTCCTTGGCATTGGATTTCTCGACATCAGTCCTCGGCAAGCGTTTGTTCTTGTTCTGTATTTCCAGCCAGCAATTTCGAGTCTGTGCTTCTTAATCTTGAATGCCTCTCCCTCTATCCATGTTTACGGTTAACATAGTACTTTATTAGGCCACTCCCTTTGCTTCCAATCAGCTCTTTCAAATCGATTTTAACATGTTAAGCTTAAATAAGCGCTCCTATCACACTCCGAAATCCTGACCGAAAGGCAGCCTGCAGGCCACGATATACTCCAAGAGTCTTTCCCAGTAACGGCTGATTGCATTTGATAAACGCAGCTGAGTTCTCATCTTGCATTCTTACGAGGATCGCATTTGTAATTTCATATCATTAGTCCTCGACTTGGCGAAAACGCTGAGTTACACAACACTAATACCGTACAACACCACTATCCATGCAGCCAACCTTGCATCTACAGCCCGTCCAGTAACAACCTTATAGTGTGGTCATTGCATGGCCAATCTCCAGGCACAGCACCAAGGTACCAAGATCTACAGCGCGGGTGGCCGCAAGATACGAGATTCTGTTCTCGTATATCACTGCATCCCCTGAAAACCAAGAACTTGGTACTATTCTCGTGCAACACTTCCACGTGGGTCATCCAAAAAACATTCCGAGCTGCGATACTTTCACGGCATCATTTCTTTTATCTGACCAATCGCTGATGGTTTATTCTCTTCTGCTTCGCTGACTTTGATAAGATAAAATATTGTCTACGCGGCTTTTTCCTTCATTCGTGACTTTCTTCTCTTCAAGGCCATCTACGGGGATGAAGAGAGTCCAAGCTCCTTATAGAACGCTTCCGAACTAGGCTCTCGGCCCAAGAACTCCCTCAAGAATTCCAACTCTGGAATACTTCCACCTCTCTCGAGAACGGTATGGCGATATCGGCGACCTTCCTTGCCGTCCATTGGGTTCTTGGCGAAGAACGAGTGGAACATGTCGAGCGAGAACACCTCTGAGTAGAGGTAGCCGTAGTAACCAGCATCGTACCCGCCGATGAAGTGGCCAATACCGGCATGCCTGTTACCCCATTCACTACATGCAAGTTAGTTTAACAGTAAAAGTTCATCTCCAGTAGGTACTTACAGTCCTTCGCCCAGATCCTCAGGGCCCTTGGTGCCAGATATCTCATGCCTAAGGGTGTTCCAAACTCGGCCAGCATTGAGCTTCTTGACAGCCTCATGGGACTCGGGCGTGTGCACAGTCATGTCAAAGAGTCCAATAACGAGCTGTCCCAGTGCACCTATAGCGGAGTTGAGGCGCTTGGTAGAGACAAGTTTCTCGATAAGCTCGTCGGGAATTTGCTCCTGAGTCTCCCAATGCTTGGAAAGCGATTTAAGAACGCTAGGTGTCCAGCACCAGTTCTCCAACATTTGAGATGGGGCTTCAACAAAGTCAAGCACCGTAGAAGTTCCGTGGAAGTAGCTGTAGCGGGTGCGGCCAGCCAAGTCGTGAATGCCATGGCCCAGCTCGTGGAACAGGGTCACAACCTCGTGATGCTTGAGCAGAGAAGGTTTCTTTGGTGTAGGCTTGCTGAAGTTGCAAACAAGGGCAGTGACGGGGTAATGCTTCTTGCCATCCTCAGTGACATAACCAGGCTCAAGGTTGAAGTTGGCGTTGTGGCCATACTTGTTGTCTCGGGGGTGAAGATCCAGGTACAGATAACCATTGAAGCCTGAGCCCGAGGCCTCATCGTCCCACACGCTGTAGATCAGAACATCCTCATGCCACACAATGTCTTCCGCCTTGCCAGTGGGGCTGAGCCTCGCTCGCTCCTCAGGCTTGAGCTCGACAAACACGAAGCCGAAAATCTCCTCGAAAATCTTGAGCATACCGGCAAATGTCGACTCAACAGGGAAGTACTGCGAGATTGCGGCTTCGTCAACACTATACTCCTTCTCCTTTTGTATTCTGGAGTAGAACGATGTGTCCCACATGTAGAAGCTGTCGTCAAATGAAAGGCCGCGCTCCTCGTAGTCTTTCTTCTTGTACTCCTTCAGTGCGTTGATCTCCTTCGCACCACCTTCGGCCAATCTGTTTCGAAGATCGTCTAGGAAAGTGCGAACAGCAGCAGGAGTCTTGGCCATCTTTTCTTCGATGCGCAGAGCGGCATGGTTGTCGTAACCGAGAAGGCGAGCGGCCTCATCTCGGAGGGTGATGATCTCTTGGAAGATAGGAACATTGACATTCGCCTAAAGGTTCAATTAGCAGAGATTTTGGAGTTTCGTCACTCCTCTCACCTTGTTGGATTCCGCAATGGTGTACTTGCGGCGAGTATCGGCATCGATAGCGTACTTGATGAGAGGGAAGTAATGGTTATACTTGAAGGACAGCTTGACCTTGCCCTCATTTTCACCAGTGCCCTTCTCCAGTGAATCAATGTCAATGTCGTCAGAAGGAACTCCCTTGAGTTCCTCGGGGGTGAACCAGATGGCACCCTTCTCTTCGTTGAGGTTTTTCTGAGCCTTTATCTCAAGCTCGCTCAGACGCTTCTGGACCTCTTTGAAGCGGTCTCGCTTAGGACCAGCGGGCAGGCGAAGGCCGTTGCGAATGTACTTCTGTCGCTCTTTCTCAAGGACGTGCGCCTGCTCCTTGGTAAGATCCTGAGATGCTCGGTTGGCGTAGGCAGCATCGACGGCGTTGAAGACATCCTCCCGCATGTTACACTCTATGCCGAAGTCATTGAAGGCACTCTCGGCCTCAGTAGAGGCATCACGAAGCTCCTTGTTGGTGGAAACATGGTGGTAGAAGGTCAGAATGCGTCTCTGCGTGGCAGCCAAGTTCTCGTCAATGAGGATGGGCTCAAGCACATTGGCAAAAGAGGCCTTGTCGGCAGTAACATTGGCAGTTACAGAGTCCAGCACATTCTTGGTAGCATCGCAAAGCTTCTTGGTATCGGCAGCGATCGATTCGGGGGTGGCGGTGAACAGAGGCGGTGCCTGAGGAGGGTTACGATACTTGTCGGGAGCCATTGTGCTAGTAACAAGCTGTCTTCGTGATAGAATAGTTCGTGGGGCTTCGAATCTGAAGTGATTCACTAAAGAGCCGAGACGAGAGAAGGCTCGTGAGGAAGCCAGAGTGACGGCGACGAGAAGGATGAAGAGAGAGAGTAGGAGGAGGAGGGGTCTGCGGGAACCACGCTTTTCCAGCTTGGATATAAATATGATGGACGGGTTCGGGATATTTCTTGGGATGTTAGCCGATTGGCTTGATAATGGATGATTTGAGGCAACCTACAGTTGAAAGAGGGGCTTATGCTCTGAGACTAAGTCGACTGATCCGTTTCTAGGCGTCAAGGGCGTTGAGAAGGCGTTACTGAAGATGCAGCAAGATGGGGCGATACCTTAAGTGAAGGTGCCGCTAAAGGTAGAGCTCCTTCGTGGACCCGCTTATGGGTGGAAAACGCGGGGCAATCCATCGGATGCGGTGTCATGATCAGGGCGGCTAATGAGATTATCATGTGCTATAATTATGGCATAATTTAGGATTGAGGCCATAATCGTCTAATAGATATGTGAAACCGTTTATGGAAACAGAAGCGAGTTAATTGGGGTTGTTTACCTGTCGTCATGAGCTTAGGACTTGCATGATCTTCACCAAAAGACACCGTCAAAGTCAAGGCACATAGAGCTTCATTACTAGACTCCTGTCCCCCTAAGTATCTACGATAATCCAACATGCTAGTGCGTCGCAAATGCGCAGCAATAATTCATCATTTCAGCGTTCCCATAGCCGATTTCCGTCCATATCCATAATCAATCAATCAAGCAAACGCCGGTCCGTCAACGCATATGCATAACCTAACCCGCCCATATCTGTACATTGTCTAGTTGGCGAGGATGGTTCGCACGAGGTCTGTAATTGTATTGCATTAGTGGCTGCCATATTGGATATCGTGTACTGTAGAGCTTACCGGTGTAGTTGACCTGGCCTGAGCTGGTGTCAACGGCCTTGAGGAGCTCATCGACCTCCTCATCAGTCATCTTCTCGCCCAGGTTTGTCAGAATGTACTTGAGCTGGCCGACGCCGATGAAACCCGTCATATCCTTATCAAACACTTGGAAACCGCGGCAGTATTCCTCAGGCTCGCCGGGATCGCGGAAGCCGCCGGGGCGGTTCAAAACACGCTGGAATGTCTCAAAGTCGACTGTATCTCCAAGGTCAGTTATGCGCTTTTAAATCGCATCGCAGGGAGTAAACTCACATTCACCACCGACATTCTTCTCGAGGTCCTGGATCTCAGCGAGGGTAGGGTTCTGACCGCAGGCGCGCAGCAGATCACCGAGGCTGTCAACAGTGACACGGCCGTTTCCGCGCTTGTCGAACAGAGCGAAAGCCTCCTTGTAGTTGGTAGAAGCCTGAGAATCAAACTTGTTAGAAGACATGATTGCTTATTTGATTGATTTCGAGGCTCGAGTGTATGTGGGAAATGCGTTCTGAAGAATGCGATTGAAAGTGTTGCTGCTCGGTAGTTGTAGAAGTATGCGAGATGCAGGTAGAAAAACCAAGGCTTGTTGTGCCGGGCGAGCTGAAGCAAAACCAAATTCCAACTTTTCGGGCGACCAGACCAAACTGTCGAATCAGAGGGCGGGGTGCATTGTTTACGTGGGCGAAGAAAGGGGTGTCCGGGGCAACTGAGCTCACTCACCATTTTTGGTTTGTTTTATTAGAGGGGTCAACGTTGACGTTAGTGGGTGTGGGTGTGTGTGTGTGGCTGGTTGGTTTGGTTTGGTTTGGTGACACAACAAACAGTGCTACAACGGTCGAGAGATGTCTTTGAGATGGCTTTCGAGAGCAGAAGATGGTGTTGAGAGGTTGAAAGATGAAGAAAGAGGAAAAGAGGGCCAAGATTGCATCCCGTTTGCATTTCCTTTCCACGCTCTGGCCTCCCTGGGCTCTTTTCCCATACACTGACGGGGCAACGGGGTCATCCTATGGGCCAAAGTCAGCCAGGCCTGTAGGTCCAGAAAAGGTCTGACCATCCCTATACTAGCCCAGCCACCAAAGCTGTCTGCTTAATTATGTCCTTTATCTGCTAATGCCGTTTGGCGGTGAAACTATTGAAACCGGAGTAAATAATGCAAGGCCCCTTTTGGATGAATCAAAGTTATGTCAAGAATCGGCCTAAGAGGTCTCTCGACATAAAAATCAACTGCCGAAGTCGCAGTTCTCACTTAGATTTCAATGTCTTGGCAGAAGCTCTTCCTGGTGAGGCTATCGTGACATTGGATGGAATTCATCCCTCCAAATGGTGCAGAGCCTCACAAAGACTCCTTAGTATTAAGTAGGTAGTCAATTAAGGCTGCCGATACTTGGCTACACTCTGCAATGATCCGATAACTTGGTTTCATGTTTCACATTATGCGAGCTAATGTAGATCAAATCCCCAAACTACTATTATTTATCATATTCTTGGATCCATTTCCCTATATTCGTCGAGGCTTCATCTCGTCTTTCTACGCGGGCGGACAAACCTCTTTGGTTGACACCTCAGAGCCTTTTTGTTTTGAAAGACACATGTTTGTGAGTGGCCCTTCTGCGCCAATTCACTGAATCAAAACTCTATAGACTATGCGTTCTGGCGACTCTATGTCGGGATAGCCTCGATCCTCTGTGTATATACTGAGGTCTGCTTAACTTATGCATATCTTTTCCATGATGAGTTGAAGCCAACTCTGATAAGATACCCTAAGCTTCCCAGACCCTGAGATTACTGCTACCTTTCATGTGACATTGAAATTTACAAAACGACGTCATTGTAATCGCTTAATCTCTTTTTGAATCCATCATGGGGGTTTCATTTCATCCCGCGATCCCGGAAATTATCTCTTGGCTGAGTCTTCCCAGCTTTGGCTAGCATCATTCTGAAGTCCTGGCTAATAATGAAGCTTATCGTAGATCTTGTTCGCTTGCTAACTACCGATCATGATCTGTCCCGTTGTATTTTATGATTCAAGGTCATTGTTGGCTACCCTGAACATTGAAGTCTCGTGGACTTGCAACGGACCAAAATCGCACTTCTACTACAAGGGTAAACTCGATGAGGTCTTTAGTAGATTGAGTTAGCCTACTCTAACTCCTGACGACATCCTTTATTTCGCGTTATTGTATGTTCTGTCTTTGAAATGTTAAATAATTGGAGCTGGTGTTTAAGTAACATAATTTCCATCTGCCCATCCACCCAAAAACATGAGACTTAGTTTGACAAGAACCCAATCACCACCTTAGAGTTCATAAAATAAGGCAAAAGATATTCAGCCCAAAGTTTTATCAAAATCCCTCTTGATAGATGGGCCAAATCTCTGACCCAGCCGATACCTACAAGGCTACATGTGACGCAGTAAACAGCTTTCCAACGGCGGAGTCAATCCAATATCTCCTAGGAGATACATTTCTTGTACGAGGGAACTTGCCCGAATGTGGAATTGAGCCAGTGACAATGGCGTTTCACATGGAAAGTGCCTCGTGATTCGTCTATAGAATTCGAACACTGCAATGATTTATAATGTCCAGTTTAATGGTCAATCAGTTGTAAGTGTGAGTGTGAGTGCGGTATTGCGTCTTAAGTAGAGCCCCGCAATGACCTTTTATCCTCGGCACAAACTCACTTACAGCATCATCAAGCACTTGTTTCTTCAACATTGAGCAAACATACATTATCTTGAAAATGGCGACTGAGGCTACTGTTCGCAAATTCTTTGCATCATCCGCTTATGCCGTGGCTGGTGCCAGCTCCAACCCTGCCAAGTTCGGACACCGCGGTAATGCTACTTGTTCATTGTATGTGATGGTATCTCGCTAATCAAGGAACTTGTAGTCTTTGTCTGGTATCTCCATCATGACTTACCAGTAACTCCCATCAACCCGGGCTCAGAGACCATCAACGCTTTGAACAAGGACCACCCTACTGTCCCCAGTGTGACCGCTCTTTCAAACCCTACGCAGACATCTCTGTCAGTCATTACTCCACCAGCAGCGACCCTAAAGGTGCTTCAGGAGGCAAAGGAGAAGGGCATTCCGTCGGTGTGGCTGCAGCCTGGCAGTTTTGATGATGCTGTCCTCAAGTTTGCCAATGCTCCTGGGACGTTTGAAGCTGTTGTTGCTGGTGATGGTGGCCGAGGCCATGAGGGATGGTGTATCTTGGTTGATGGTGAGCGAGGACTGAAGGCTGCTGGCAAGCTGTGATAGATCAATGTACAGGGTGTCAAGTCATAATTGACGAGTCAGATTATTACGAATTACTTGTGAGGTTTGCTTCTTCTCATGTGATTGATGGTAATGCTCAGAGTATATGGAGTACAGAGTAGCCATTGGGCCAATTGATAATAATAGATATATGTCCACTTAGGAATATCTCGGAATAGACAGTCGTCTAACTAACCCCAACAACATTGAAATATTTCCACCTGATACTCACCGTATCAAAGTGCTGTATTTCCCAGGCCTCTATTGGTGACCTAGGGCCCTAAAGCCCATGGATGGATGTTTAGATCTCTGGGGTTGAGTTGCTGGCAGGGATCCACCAAAGTAAACAAACGCGCCAGGACCCACCCCGACACTTTGCGTTGCTTGACTTGGATGGTAGGTAGACTAGATCCTCGCTCGCTACGATCACCTCTAATTCAATTCCTTCCACCAACAACCGTCTTTCACCGTCATTCAGTTCTATTGTGTTGACGCAGCGCGCGCCCTTGTTTTCGAGTTGAACATATCCTCTCATGAGCGCGATTATCTATTCTATTTTCTCTTTTTCTACGTTTTCGACCGCTTGCTAGCTGCTGACTTCGTAGACCAAGCTCTCTCTCCAATTTGTTTGCCCACAATCGAAGCATCGCGTCTTGTTTTAAATACCCTTGACTGACCGCGCTTTCACGCGCAACACTACAACAACCATGTCTTTTGACGACGTCACAGACCAATTCATCACATACGAGAGCCGTTTGGCCTCCTTTCACAAGAACTCCAAAAAGCGAGGTTCTACAACGAGCGGAAGGGGCACAAAAGCTCTGAATTGGCCACACAAGAGCATCACACCCGCGAGCGTACGATGACCACGATATTTGCACCATAATAATCCGCTGACAATGTTGTAGCTCGCCCGCGCTGGACTTTTCTTCAACCCTACACCAGAAAACCCCGACAATGCCACATGTTTTCTATGCCACAAGGGCCTCGACGGCTGGGAAGCAAATGACGACCCTCTCCTCGAGCACCTGAAGCATGCTCCCGAATGTGGATGGGCGGTTGTCGCAGCGATTGAAGCCGAGGTCGGAGATTATGCGCAACAAGATCCTGATCAACCATACATGAAGGATGCTCGAAAGGCCACATTTGCTGGAAGGTGGCCCCATGATTCTAAGAAGGGATGGAAGTGCAAAACCAAGCAGCTGGTCGACGCAGGATGGAAGTACACACCGACAGAAGACTCGGACGATATGGCTACGTGCACCTACTGCCAGCTGGCCCTCGACGGCTGGGAGCCTGGCGACAAGCCTCTGTGAGTATTGCTCCTCCGTTTCCCATATCGCGTGGACTGACCGGGTGTCTACAGAGATGAGCATTATAACCGATCACCTGGCTGCCCGTTCTTTATTCTTCTCGAAGAGAAGCAATCTACTAAGAAGTCTGGCCGAAGCAAGGCTGGACGCGCATCCAAGGCCTCGCGGTTGTCTGCGCAATCAGTCGCTACAGTCGCATCGGAGGTGACCTCGATCAACGAGTCTACAGCTGCCATCGAGGATAGCGTCTTGACAACAACTTCGACTACACAGGGCGGAAAGAAGACGAAGGCTCGCAAAGCGACTTCGAAAGGACGAAAGACAAAAGCCAAGAAGGAAGCACCCGTCGAGGACGTTGAGGCATCCATTGAGGAAGAAGAGGTACCAGTAACAAAGCCTGCTCGAGGGCAGAAGCGAGACAGTGCAGCAGTGGAAGACGCCAGTAGCATGGCCATGTCTCCACCAGGTAAGAAGCGTGCCACACGGAAAGGCGCTAACGCTTCTGTAAATGAGTCGACATTGCAACACGACGAGTCGGTTGATATTACCGAAGTCTCTGTCTCTAAGAAGGGCGGCAAGAAGAAGACGACACGTAAGGCGTCAGCTAAATCTTCTCGCACCGTATCCTCAGGCTCTGCGACTTCGGAAGTGGTGACGACTGGTTACGAGGCAACTCCTGGAACATTCCCTGATGATGATGAGATTGAGCGCCAACTCGAAGCAGACCTTGAGAGACAGCTTACTGAAGACGAGGAGATAACTGCTGACTCTGATTCTGAAAGACGTCAGAGCAAGAAAGAGAAGGGAGAGAAGGCAGCAAAGGCTGAGAAGCACGAGTATTCCCGAGACTATGCCATGCTCAATCCTGAGCCAGTGGAGCCGAATGAAGACGATGTTGATGACGAACTTCGAGCTTTACAGGCTGAGATGGAGGTTGATGAGGAGTCAGCACCTCAGCATGAACCTCAACCAGAGCCAGAAGTCGAACCTGAGCAGATGCCTGAGCCTGAGCCTGAACACCAAGAATTACGTATCCCCAAGAAGGGTCGAAAGGCTGGAACTAGAAAGGCTTCCAAGCAGAGCAAGTCTAAGAAGGCCAAGGCGGCACCTGAGCCTGTTGAGGAAGATGAAGTTGAGCCTGAGAAAGCACAGCTACAGGAACACGAAATGCCAGAGGAAGAGGTCACACAACCAGAAGCAGAGACGCAGGTCGATGAGACAGCCCACGACGATAGTCTTGTTAGCACTGACACTGTTGTCAAGAAGTCTAATAATTCTCGCCTGAGTACAGGCAGCCGAGGGCGTGGACGACCATCCAAGGCATCCCTCGCCTCGAGGGCTTCCGCCAATGATCTAGAACTAGTTGAAGCGCCAGAAGAAGCTACTCCAGAGCCTCCTGAGGAGCAACCCACAAAACGGCCCCGGGGACGTCCTTCCAAGGCTTCATTGGCATCTCGTCCATCTGCTGGACCTGACGAGAGCCAAGTGAGTGAAGCGGCCCCTAAACGTGGTCGTGGACGTCCTTCAAAGAAGTCACTGGAAGCTCGGAAGTCGATGGAAGCAGCGGCGAGCCAGGAATCCACACAGCCCTTCACACAACCGGTTGAAGAGCGCATGCAAGAGGACGTCGAAGTCTACGCGTCCGAGGAACAAAAGGACGAGAGGCCACCTTCTTCCCGTGTTGTATCGTTTGAATCGGCGCAGGCATCTCCCGCACAACAGCCTATGCCATCATCACCACCCGCAAGCGCGGCTCACCTTGCGAACCCGCCATCTACTCCTGGGAGAATCATTTCTCCCGCACCCTCGGCTCGACAAGCAGCCATCTCGCCATCTCAATCACCCCAATCCTCTGACGCTGAGAACCAACCGCCCTCTTCCAGACTTACCACGAGTTCCAATCCTAAGAGAGTAGCACTTGCACCAGTGAACTCTACACCAACGCGCTCGTCACCATCCAGGCGCAACGTGATTGCGGGACTCCGCAGCACGGCACCATGGACAGAGCTGGATCTCGACGCTGTCTTCGGAACACCACGTGTCAACACAGACAAGGAGAATGGCGTAGAACGATACCTTAAGCAGGGACAGACTTTGACGTCACCCGAGAAGCAGATGACAGTGCAAGAGTGGATCTACTACAATGCTTCAGAGGCCGAGAAGAAGCTGAAGTATGAGTGCGAGTCGATTGTTAACCGATTTGAGAGTGAAGGATCAAAAGCAATGCGCGTGCTTGAAGGACTGCTTGTGGAATGAGACATGACTTTCTAGACAGATGAATGACGGATGGGAGGCAAAAGCTGGATACGATACATACAGACACAGACACAGACTCTGACTATTGCTCTTTGATGTAACTTAGTTAATGTGCATGACAAACAAGGTCAGGAATGACGGCGTTGGTTGGGATGAACATGATGAATTTTCTCAGATACTGGATTTTTGTTAATGAATCAAAGAACAAGACTCTTCGTTTCCTATTCAATTGTTTGAATTCAGCCTCTCATGTGGTCACATTTCTAGAGATCGACGCCGTTCTTTCAGGAACCATCTGCAGATCCCTACGTCAAAGCCTCTACGAGATTGACTCTACACTACAGCCGCAACTATGAGCTTCAGCATTCCACACAGAAGCTATGCCGAAGAAACTAGGACGTGCTATCTTTTTCTCCTCAGAGGCTGACCAGCGTAGATAGCCGCCACTAGACGTTCGGTGCCCCTTGCATTCCAGGCTAAAAGCCCAGAACCCTTAAGGGTTCAACCTTTGCCTTTTCCATCCGAGATCGCGGACATGCCGATAGGGCTTTGGGATCATTTGGAGATGGAGGCGTTTACAAGAATTCAAATTGAGAGGGGATATGAGATACATAAGAGGTAGCGGGACTGCTTCTCTCAAAGGTCTGGGACAGTTTCTGAATACCTTCACTCACAACAATTATACTCATATCTCTCTCTTCAAGAGCAACACTGGTTGTTAGCCATACCCAAAAACAAATTGTCAATATGCTTGGCCTATACTTTCCTTCCTTTTGGGTCTTCCCTCTTCGCAGGTCGACAGTCGATGCTGAGGTCGCATATCTTGAGAGCCTTGAAGCCGGCAACTTTGACGAGCCTCTTTATGTCAGACGCAAGGAACTTGGACTAAGCGACTGGTAAACAAGGAAGAGAAGAAGAAAAACAAAAACAAAAAATAAAAACAGTAAGTTGAGGGCTTCAGAATATGTCACTATTTACTTACAACCCACAAGACATGTCTTTTCGGTGCGCCTGGTAGCGGAGCCGGATGTTGCACGACTCGAGACGACTTCACGATTATCTCATCAATATTTCTTTTGTCAGATTGTCCTCTGTATGATAGGACGAGCGATTGTACTCTATATTTGTACTATATCACATCACATCACACCAACTCACACAAAACAGCACAGACAACAAAGATTGTTAAATTCAGCCTGCCAAATCGGCGGCGACAATATGATCAATTTTGAACCTCATGCCATGCATCTCATCTGCTCTCCTTGCTATTAAACCTGGCCGAGTTATGGCCACCCTCCTCCTGCTAAAACAATTTCATCTCCTCGCTCATGCCCGTGGTATATATATAAGGAGTGTCTGGTATCTCAATGCTGATTCTATATGCTTCCCACCATGCGCCAAATGAGTGTCGTGGCAAAAGCCAAATATCCAAATATATAAAGTCATCTCTTCCAAAATCCTGTATGTGCATTGAGTATCCATGAAGCGTAAGCATAAACGTGTAGTCATATTCGAATAGACATTAATGTAAGGAGTGTCGTGAAAAAATATGTTCAAAAAGTGGTTGTTGTTTGAAGATTAGATGAGCACCATCAGCATCGAGAAAAGAGCGATGATAGTGGCAAAGCTAGCTGTCAATCGTGACGCAGCAGCCTCAACCGTTGAAGGTGCGGCAGTTTCGTCTGAGGTAGACGATGAAGTGCGTGTCTCGAGGCGCGATCTGCTCTCAGTAGCGGCTCCAGAAGCACCAGATTCAGTCTCTGATCCCGACTCTGTCTCTGTTGCGGTAGCTCCAGATTCTGTTTCAGTTTCAGTAGCATCTGCGTTGCCAGATCGTGTAGCTTTGACAGTCGTCTCGGTAGCAGCTCCAGAAGCATCAGTTTCTGAACCTGTCTCGGCAGAATCCGTCTCGGTGCCCTTGGTCTGGGCTGTTCTCGATCCTGTTTCTGTAAAGGTAGAAACTAAATCAGTCTCAGAGTCACCAAGTGACGATGTGACAGTTACGACAACACTATTGGCTGTAATAGACAAAGTGGTAGACTCACCAGCTTCAGAGTTTTCAGACCCGTTGGTTGATGTCTCCTCAGCCGCTGTCTCAGTCTCGGTCGCCTCGGCCTTTTCAGTTGTCTCAGCCGGAACCGAACTCTCTTCAGCAGCTTCTCCAGATGTGCTTGGCTGTGATGCACCAGAAGTCGATCCATCTGCATCTGTGGTCGCCTGGGCCTGCTCAGAAACTTGTGTAGAAGCATCTTCTGTAGAAACAGGTTCTGCGATGTCGGTGCTCTCATCCCCAGCACTAGTCGCCTCAGCGGCATCCGAGGTAACAACAGCTTCTGTAGTAGGCTCGGGAGTATCAGTAGTGGTAGGCTGGGGCTCGGCTTCAGCACTAGTAGACTCGGGCTCAGACTCTTCAGTTGTCGCTGGAAGGGCACTGAAATCGCCAGAGGTGGCCTCGACCTGCCCTGTCGTCTCAACATCCGCAGATCCAGTAACTTGGGACTCAGGACCAGATGCAGCTGTGGTGACAGTCGTGGTATCCTTTCCATCACAGTAATCGATGAATTGGTTAAACTCAGGCTCAACATAATCGCGAATGGTGTTCTTGCTCTTGGAGGTGTTATCACTAATACAGTCGCGGCACATGTCGTAGCTGCCACGGAATGAAGAACCTGCTCTGCAGAGTCTGTCTGATTTTCCAGTTGAGAGTGCGATCTTGTATGCGCCATCACAGTCATCGTAGCAAATGGCTGGAGTGACATCTCGCCTGTCGTTCATGTGGAGTCCACGTCGTTGGTTGTTGCTGGGGATATTGTCATAGGACTCTGCTACCGAAGTAGTGGCGTCTGGCCAGTCGCTCAAGGTTGTCTGTGAAGCCCAGTTTCCAGTCGAGAATGTCTTCAGCTCACCACTCACGATCTTCTCATAGACTTGCTTCTCAAAGATATCATAAGAAAGACCGAAAGCCTCTGGGTTCAGGTTGAAGTAACCAGGAGAACGAGGGTAGAAGCCAGTCTTGTTCTTGCGCCATTTCGCCTTCTTGACCTTGGGAGCCTTGATACAGTATTGAGGTTCACAAAGATAGTCCTCATCAGGTGGCTCCGCCCAGAAGTTGCACCATGCTGGCTTCGGCGGGTTGCAGACGTAGCCTGGCTCGCAACCAAATGTGAGATCGGACTTGCGGTCGAGTGGCGCAGATCGACCTGTAGGCTTGGGGCACAAGGTGATGCGTCCAGGAGTAGCCGTGACTGTGGTAGGAGGGAGCTGTACTGTTTGGCTAATGGTCAAGGTAGTAGTGTAGACAGTTGTAGGGCCTGGAACCACTGTGACAACCGTCTCACCGTCCTTAGTAAGGGTAACAGTCTCTGCAGGCAGTCTCTCTGTGACGACAGATTCAATGGTGATAGTAGCCTGCTCTCCAGGGACAGTAACAACAGTACGCTCTCCGGGAACTGTGACTGTCCTTTCCTCGCCAGACACTGTGACAACAGTTTCCTGACCAGGTAGAGTCACAGTCCTTACCACAGTTCTATCTTCGCCAGGCTGGACAATAGTTCTGGGGATCGTCACTGTCTCGTCTTCTCCAGCCTCGGTGATAGTAACCCTGCTTCCTGGAATAGTAACGACGTCGGTAATTGTCAAAGCAGGTTCAGTAACCGTAGTTCCAGCCTCGGTGACAGTGCTTCCGGGCTCAGTGACAGTTTCCTCAGGGAGAGTAATAGTTGTACCAGCCTCAGTCACGGTACTGCCAGGCTCTGTTATAGTAACTTCAGGGTGCGTCACAGTAGTGCCTGGCTCGGTGACAGTCGTTCCAGCCTCGGTAACTGTTGGTCCTGGCACAGTAACAGTACCCCCGTCTTCTGTGATTGTTACTCCAGGCTCCGTGATTGTGACGGGGGGGAGAGTCTCAACAATAGTCTCCCCTGGAAGCGTTTCCACGAAAGTTGGTCCGGGCACAGTTTCTATCACTGTGACCGGCTGTGTCTCAACATATGTCGGCCCAGGTCGAGTCTCAACCACAGTAGTTCCCTCGTGAACTGTTTCTGTGATTGTGGATGCAGCTTGAGTCTCGGTTATCGTCACCTTCTCCGTGACCTTTTCCGTCACCTTCTCAGTCTCAGTAACGGTGACCTTTTCGGTGACCTTTTCGGTGACCTTTTCTGTAATCTTTTCGGTGACAGTGCTGGTGCCGCCAGGAGCGCTTCAAGCATGTTAGTGAAAGCTATTTGAGTAATCAACAGCAACTTACCAAGATTGAGTTGTCTCAGGGGGCGTAGTCGTGGTGGGAGGCTCAGGAGACTCAGTGGTAGTAGTTGGAGGCTCATACGGCCCAGTCGTTGTAGTGGGAGGTACATACGACTCGGTCGTAGTCGTTGGAGGCTCAGGAGCTTCAGTCGTTGTAGTAGGAGGTACGTAAGGCTCGGTTGTGGTGGTAGGGGGCAATGGGGCTTCACTCGTTGTTGTTGGAGGCGCAGGAGGCTCCTCGCTGGTGGTTGAGGGCCCATAGGTTGGAGGCGGGACTACGGTGTAGGAATCTGTGATAACCGGAGGCGGTGGAAGCGGCTCGGTGGTAGTTTCAGGCGGAGGATCTACTGTAGTTGGATCGTTGGCAGGATAGCTGTCTGTGATAACAGGGGGGGGAGGAACCACCACAGTCGTCGTTACGGGTACAGGACAACCGCACTTAGCATCCCAAACCACCATTGTGCCGTCCTCTATGTATGGGGTTCCTGTATCAGCCCCGTCAACACTGGTATCGCCTTGCTCAACTGGCGTGGCAGAGGTGACTTGAGGTGCCGGAGCCGCTGTTGTTTCTGCCTCGACCTCGGCTGCAGAAGTCTGAACTTCGGGAGCGCTGGCGAAGTATCCATCTTGAGCGGGCGCCTGCGTATTGGCAGCAGCAGGTTGGAGGCTTGCTGATTCACTCCTTCGATAGAGACCTTCTCCCACGTTCTGAGCTGGAATCTCAACAGCTGCAGCGCCCAGGGCACTGAGTAATAGTGAGAAGCGCATGACAGGCAACCGCCTTCAATGCAATGAGTGAGTGATACCAGCGTCAGAGCCGTCTGGACCTAGTAGCGAGTGTGGTTGAAACGAACGTCAAAGTCCAACTCTTCTTGGTTGCGATGTTAGAAAAGGTCAAACAAAGAGATCAATACATTGGGCTTGAAGAAGTATCACAAATATATGATAGAGGAGCTGGGACAGGGTTGGGGGCTGAGCAACAGAGGAAGCCTTACCAGAAACCGGCAATGCGGATTTTCAAGCCCACATACATCGACATCCACAAGGAGAGTTAATTACTCTGGTAAGCCACTCCGGAGTATAGATACGGCAGGGGAGCAGCTGAGAGAGCCGAGTTGCGGGTCGATGTAAGAGCAGAGCCGATTCACCAGAGTGAAAAGTTTGTATGTATTCAAACTCAACAGCCAAGAGTCAGCAAAATTAAAGAGATCCTAGTCTGGTCACCGAAGAAAAGATGACTTATTAAGACAAAGAGCAAGGAACATCACAAAAGATCCATTAAGAAGGAGTACAACACTGTAGCTAAAATGTGCTAGAAGAGTTTGTGGGTACCTCGCCTGAGCTTGCTGACCTTGAGCGATCCGTAGCATGAGCAACAATGCATTTACATGCATAGAGCATGGATGAGAACAAGGGTCTGACAGGGGTATACACATTAAGATATGCCCCAATTGAGGAAGCAGGGTGACCTTTGAAGGTCCACTTGGACAAGGGCCTTGTTCTGATGCCTCTGAGAGACTCCAATATCACGCACGTACGCTCTTGGATCCAGAGCTGCGGGCCGTGAAGGGGCGGAGAAGTGACAATATCACATCACAACCCACGAGGGTTGTGCTGACAACAAGGCCACCACATGACAGACAAGATGGAATATCTGACATGGTTTGGGATTAGATAGAATTGACCGAAAACTCATCGAACGGTACTCCGTTCTCCGTTCCTTTCTCTTCAGCCTGAAAGCCAAGGCCTGACGCGCAAGACTGTGACGTTGGCACGGGAGAGGAAGTTCGCGGAGTGGTCTGTAATAATAATAGACAATGCAGCAGAAGTGTCACCGACTCGATGTGTAAGGTACGCCAATGATGCTGTGGCTCATAGAAAGCCGGATCTCACAGGATGTCGGCAGCATTTTGGGTGTAGAGGGGTTCAGAATTTCCCGTATTAAAAGTGCAAAACTAGCCAGTCACATTGTGATTCGAAGAGTCATTGGCTGTAGAATTATGTTGCGTAAACAGCAAAACAGAACAAGTGCGGCACACACAAAGACATGCGTGCTTTGAAGTTGGATGTCAAAAGTTGAATGTGGAGAGGCCTCAATAGAAGTTGACTCGTCGAGCGAGTGAAGTTGAGACGGGAAGTTCGAGGCTCACTCACTCCTTCCTTCCATCCATCGGAACCAAGAAAGCCAAGTAGAGTTAGTGGGTGGCTTATAGTGAAACGGGCGGGCAGGTAGACGCCACAGCCTGACTCTCAGGGCATCTCGTGATGTGATTGGTGGGAGTCTAAACAACGCAACCCAATCCAGGGCGGAAGTTTTTGCTTCGGTCCAGCCCTGTGAGAGCGGGAGAGAGTGGAGACTCCCCGATTTCGTCACTTGTCACTGATTTACGATCCGTTCCAACACGGGTGATCATTGCATGAGTTTTGTCTCTGAAAATACTGGAATATCACAGTAGAAACCTGTTTTTTCTATGAGACGGAGAAAAAACAATGCAGATTCTGTACTAGGCTCTTGCGTACCTGACTAGGTACAGAAGGGATGTTTGTCTGTCTGTCGGTCAATCCAAGGTTGGATACCAGGATAATTAAGCTAAAAGCTGACTGCCCGTTCCACTGCGATCCCCACTGGGTCGACCCTGAGCCCCGCTATAGCCCCCGCCACATGCCGAGCCTTATTCAACTGGAGGTCTCTCTCTGTCTCTCTGAGGATACCTACCACAACAACAAAACATCCATCCATCGCAATCACGGGTCAACGGTGCTCGGATCAGACATTGCCCTTCGCCGACTTGACGCGTTGGCAGATGAATCATCATCTGAACCTTTTCTTTGTTCTCTCAAGTCCACACTCATTTAAAACTGCCCACCTCAATAACCGAACATTACCAAAGCCGGATGCTGTGTTGCCTACAGTTCATCATCTCCTCCCTCCCCCACGCCTGGTCACAACCTCGCATTCAGTCTGACATCTGCGCGACTTTTGATTCATCGTGGTCGTGGCTGCGGGGGCCTCGATGAGTTGCGTCCGATATGCAGCGGACCAAGAGACGTGGATGGTTAGGTTGCCAGCACAGCACAGCGCATAAGTTGATGGAGAGATCATCCTTGCAGTGCAAAAATAACACCCTTTTCCGTACGGGCGGAGGCTCTCCTCTCCTTGGCTTCACGGAGAGAGGGTCCGATGGGTGAGATGTGGTCTTGTTACATTGTCTCCCCCCGACAAGTCCCAGTGCTTATTTTTGGCAGGGATGTGGATGGTAAGATCGGCCATGTCAGTCCAATCCTGGACAAGCCCAGCCTCCAAAGTCTCTTTACGCGTCCTTCGACGGATGGCACTTTTGGATTTGCACTTTCTTCTTGCGACTCTGACATCTCTGTCAGAAAGAGCCAGTTGTTCCGTTCGGTCATGTCCGTGTCCGCGTTCCGTCGCAATAGGGAAATCTGGTGCTGACGAGAAAAACCCACAAGAGGAACAGGGCAATAGTCTTTGCTCAGAGCCTTGTCCTCATCCAACCCGATCAACTGGTCCAATCAACTTGAAACCTCATGCGAGATCGCCGTGATTCCAACTGCCTGGGCCACTTAGCGGTTGTGGCTGTTGATAGTCTGTGAAACAAAACACCACCAACGAGCTCCTGTTGGTTCGTCTGTTTCTCAGCCATAGCCACTGGTTCTTTGTTCAAGAAAACTTGACAGCCTGCATCTTGACTCGGCTGGTCATCTATTCCCTCTACCGCCATCGGCTACCGTCCGTTCCATCAGGTGCATAAGCTGAAAGGGCCTGTTCGGAGCAGTGCCTACACCCTGGTCCAGTCCTCGGTCGATCCCAGATCAAAAACTCCTCGAGGTCAGCCCTTAGCAACAGGATATCCACCTGTTTACCGCTCTGAAAATTTCCACACTTGAAGTGGATGAACCATTCTCAACGGTCAGCCTAGCTTTTCATCATTTAGCGGCAGAATCAGGCTTCAGAGGATTGAGGCTGAGTAGAGCGATATGGAGATCCTGGTCGAAAGTAATGTCCTTACAGAACGGTGTCAGCTCGGAAGCATAACCCTGACCGTAGTCAACGCATGCAGAGCATGCTGCACCGCAGTAAGATGGTGTCCATATTCGCATGGGCAGCCACCGAAGAGCATGGATGTAGCTCAATGGCTGTTTAAACCTCTAACCGACGAATCTGCTGTCTGGGCATGAGGAACAGCTGATCCCTCAGCCCTATCCTTTCCCCATCCCCCTCCGATCTCAACTGGTCTCAGTGGCGAACGTTGGCTCTACAGAGAATACTGTACACTTGCCTTCCATCTTGGTATTCTGTCTTACAGACCGTTTTGGATCCTCTCTAAACCGTTTGCTTTTTCATCTCACAATCATTTTGTCTTGGCGTCTAATTCCTTGATCCTTGCCCAGTCATTCTACTTGCATATTGCACGAACCCTCCAAGCATCGAGCTGCTCGGGCACTTTAGCGATCTTTGATTCTAGACCGAGGCTTTTTCTTTGTTCAATAGGGATTGCTTACCTTCCCGAACTAGCCTTGTTACCTGTGTACACTTTGCCTCCCAGCGGATATTTCGGTCTCTTTGCCGGCCATTGGGAGCGTCTCTAGGACAGAATAAGCAATGGTCCACTAGCATCTTCTTGCAGTTAATTTCTTTCAAACGCCTGCTCTGTGCGACGCCCTCTGAATAACTCATGATTGCAGTCATGATGTTTAGAAACGCTGCACCGTGGGCATTCCTGGCCGCGGCCATAGGTCCAGCGGTCGCACAGTTTGATGCCTGGCAAGATGGGCAAATCAGCACTGAAATATGTATTTGGAAGCAGCCAAGAGGTGAGAACATGGTCTGATTATCTCGTCAAAGCTGTGTCTAATGTCTACTTAGCAATAATGATTCGGGATATGGTGTATCTAGATGGCGGTGATATCAAATGGATTGCAAATATGAACGATGGCCAAGCGATCACAGGACTTGACACAGGTTGGTTATTTCCCTCTATTTATATCGGCCAAACTGACAATCAAAGGTAACAATGAGGGTATCATCCTCAATTTCAACCTAAGCACTCCATTTAATACGACGACAAATGTGACGCAGATTCTTCTCGACAAACCAGCCATGTCAAAAGCACGAGGCGGCTCAGGAAACAGTAACGGTGCTGCGCCTAACTTTATCGACGGCGCTCTTCTTGGTAATGATGCTGAATTCTTCCTTTACGGTGGCGATCTGTTGCGAAACGACGACTTATATCAAGCACCCGATAAGGATGAAGTCTTGGGCTACCAGGCATACCAGTATGGACCGGACAAGCCGACATGGAAGCCAGGTTTTGTTGATGACAAGCTGGACAAAGACGTCACTCGATACGTCGCATACGGGGGGGCAGCAAATGTACCATCTGAAAACCTTGCCTTCTATTTCTCTGGCCTGAGATCCCCGACATATGGAGCTTTCTTCACGAACGATGCCAAGAACAAGGCCACGAATGTTTCCAACACATTGATTACCTTGAACATGGAGGAGCAGCTCTACGAAACTTGGACCAACACGACGTTGAAAGGGCCCAAGGGACGTGCCAATGCAGAGGTTGTTTGGGTGCCTGTGGGCAAGAAAGGTATTCTTGTTGTCCTGGGAGGTGTTGTTTACCCTGAATGGGCAGGACGAAGTGGCAAATCTGCAAATGAGGCAGAGAGTGTAAGTCATATCCAATCTTGCATCAATATGGAAATGATATTGACACTGCACGATGATAGGAAAAGCAAAGCCCTGAGTTTATGCAGACAATCGACATCTACGACATAGACAACAAGAAATGGTACAAGCAGGACACCAAGGACGGTCCAGGCGCACGAACTCGAGGATGTGCTGTTGTTGCCACGGCTTCAGATCGTTCGAGTTTCAACATATTCTATTATGGCGGCTTCGATGGCATTCATCCAGTGGACGCTTACAGTGATGATGTCTGGGTACTCTCGTTGCCATCCTTCACATGGATCAAGATCAACGAAGGGAAGTCTCTTCATGCTCGCGCCGGACACAAGTGCTTCATGCCATACCCTGACCAAATGCTTGTCTTTGGTGGTTACACGTCTCAAGCTGGAAATTCGATTACTTGTCTTGACCAAGGCCCAATTGTGAACTTCAACGTCACCAGTGGACAGTGGTTGGAAGGATATGATCCTGACGAGTACAGTGATTACGGCGTTCACGAAAAGATTCATTCTGAAATCGGAGGTAATGCCAAAGGTGGTGCAACCGCAACTGCCCCTGCAGATGGCTGGTCGACGTCTGCCCTTGAAGACATATTTGGCACTAAATACGACACCAAGAAGATTAAGGAATACTGGCCTTATACTAAGGCAGTCTCAACGGGCAGACCTCGACTAGACAGCGGCGACAACAATGACGACGACAACAAGAGCGGTGGCTCTGGTCTTCCAAACTGGGTTGCGCCAGTTCTCGGAGTCGTTCTTGGACTGATGTTTGTGACCGGCATCCTTGTTGTATTCTGCCTCTGGCGCCGTCGCAAAATCTTCAAGAACAGATCAAGCGACGATGGCACTGAAGATCCAGGCTCGCGTATCCGTTCATGGATCAGGGGCCAGCACAACGAGAAGGCCCCTACAGTCACAACAGACGAGACCCCGACAAGTCCTGGAACCGAGGTTGCCTCAACTGCGAGATTCGTTGGTCTATCACCGTCACCGTCTGATACTCCTGCCTATCCTGTCTCTCCCGCTGAGGTGGCTGATACCCAAATCCATGAGATGCCTGGTAAGTTGCAATTGCTTTCCCAAGTGGTGATGAAAGTTACTGACAGTTTTAGACACCTCAAGACCTCCTGAGCTCCATGACACGGGTCTCTCACCCATCGATATTATCCAAAAGTACTCCCACTTTGCCAAAGACGGCAAATCCCGCTCCATGTCAAATCCTTCCAGCAACTCTTACTCTATAGGAGGGGAACATGCAAGCACCGTTTCGAGATCGACAGGACCTCAAGTATCGCAGCCTGACTCTCCCACAGCTGGCCATAATCGCATGACATCAGATGTATCCGGAGTAACTGAAAGCGACGGGAAACCCACTCGCGTAACATCTGATGTCTCTGGCGTCTCTGAGGGCGATGCCCTGGCACTCAGGCATACGGCCGTTCCCATAAGTCCAAGGAGTGAAAATTCAAGCTTGCCTTCGCCGCCACTTCCCTCTCCTCCCGCGGACCTAACTCCCAATTCACCTATCGGTGAAGGACCAGTATCCCCTGCACCAGTGTCTCCTCCCAGTGCCAGCGAGGCTCCTGGTCGAGACTACATCACAGCCAAGGCCTCAGCAAGCCCTATCCGGAAGAGTATGTTTAAGGAAAGTGATGAGGATATGGGTCATTCTAAATAGATGTTTTAATGTGGGATAAAATCGGAGGATGGCGTTTGAAACGTGGTTTATGATGGAACTTACGGGCATACATATCAATATTGCGCGGCAGGACATTCTTTCACAGGCTCAGCATTCTAGGAGTACGATACCTTGGTTTAGGTTCATGGCGAACTACACTCGTTTTGTTGCAAAATATTCAATGTCTATATACGTTACTTTTGAGTACCTATATTCATAATATCCAATTCATATAAAAAAGCTGTTTGGTCTCTGCTCTGTGTTTAACCTCGCCCTGTGGTGCGTTTCGAGAATCAAGGAATTTTGTCCTTTTCCATGCATGAACAACACAGGCCGTTCGTTTTATTTGAACAATCCGTTTAAACTTCAACGAGTTGGTCATCTTCGTCCTCGACCTCTTCCACCCGTCCATTGGTAGCCTCGGGCTTATCCTCAATCGCCTTAACATCATTCTCTGTCTTGCCCTCGTCTTCCTCGTCTCGTGCCAATACCTGCACCAAGCGCTCGCAAGCTTCTTGAACACCTTCATCGTTTACTCGCGAATGTGTCTCACGAATAACAGGATAGACTTTGACTCGACGCATAAGGTCTCGTCCTTCTCGTGTTGTCGTCAATAATGTGAGTGTCTCAACATGTGTCTGCACATTCTGATTATCTGAGTCTCGCTTCTTATCAGGCGGTAGTAGTTGGAGATCAGGCAGCATATCCATTGTCTCATCAACGTCGTACTCCTCGTTACCCATGATAGGGAGCAGGATATAAGGTAGGATATCGATCTCATCCTCAGATAAGAATGAAGCGTGAGATGAAACCTCAAAAGCGACGTTCTTGATAGTACTAGCGACACCTTTTCGTCGAATATCGGATTTGTGCTCAGTGAAAACCTTGAGCTTGGTAATGGGAATAACCTTGTCATAAGATTGCTCTTCAAGGAAGTGCTTTCGAATATCGGCGTGCTTGGAGAGATCAGCGAAGACGTAGGCTAGATAGTCAAAGTCTGCGTGCTTGTTGTATGTGCCGTCTTGTCCCTTGACGAACAAATCTAGTAGTTGGTTGAGAACAACCTGGTCTGAGCCGAGTTCCTTGGGAGGTTCTTGCTTTCGCTTGAGGAAATCTTTCAAGCCATCCCACTTGGAAAGGTTGGCCACAAGCATGGCTAACAAGTTGGCATTAGGCTCTTCGGGGTTCTAGGTGCCGTGTTAGCGACTGATAATGAGTCTCTTCAGCCTTCAATCATACCACTATTAGATCGAACACAATACCGAGGAACTTCTCGTCTTTTGCAAGGAATTCGAGAACCTCTTGGTCACTCGATAAGTTGACCAGCATTGTGATGGCATGTTCAGCAATTTTCTGAGATATCATTAGTCTCAGGAAGACCCTTTTCATTCTTACAGGCCCGACTTACAGGATGGTCCCGGACCAGGAAACTGAGATGCTTGACTGGTTGAAGTTTCTCGGCTTTGAAGATACTGGGTTCTGACAATGAGTAGGGGACGAGGTTCTCAGCAGCGAGCAGACGAATCTGAGCGTTGGGGTTGGCGATGAAGCCGACGAGCTGTGGTTGATACATGTTAGCCGATGACTCTTCTGGTGTACGGAGAGTTACCTGCCTCTTCTAGTTCAGTTGGCATCTTGTCTCTGTCTTATTATCTTCACTATATGTTGCTGAAGTGAATTTTTAGAGTTGGTGATGATTTTGGAGGGGCATGAGAGTAGTGGGGGTAGAGGCCTGAAGTCATCGCTGCTTCAGTAGGACTGGGCATCATTTTTAGTGGTCAACAAGTGAATTTTCAGTTGGACCCACATCCATGCTGAAGAAGTTTCCAAGGGTCTCTTTTTGTGTCATCATGGTGGCGGGGCAGAATCAGCCTGGTCTATCATATTTTTTCAAGAACAAGACGAGGAAGGCTGTTGGAGGTTTTGGCCTGTCTCGTGGCGAGGCATTAGCGATATCATGCATCATATATTCCCAGTTGCATTATTGCACAGTTAGGAAATACATGGTTTCTTTTTATACTATTTTATAGTGAATAATTAGAGGACTTATGGAAGACGAGAGACAACAGGGGCAAGAATACGTAGAAGCTCTGGTATAGGTTTCAATGAAAAAATAGAGCATAGATCGATACATGAATAGTGTTTCTGCCCTCTCAAGTTGAATTACTCTGATATAAGTGATCCAATTCATAGACAACTTCTCAACCAAAAGCGGTGAACCACCTTTGTGAGCTGATACAGCGCACTAGGCGAATTCGAGCAAGAGGGGTCCTTATCGATAAGGCAAAAATTTTGAAATTCTACCCAAACCGTATACGACTCCAAGCCCACATTGTGTGCCATCTCCAAGTCATTACGCCCAAAATGCCTAAAGCCACTACTCCTTCTGCCTCGCGGCAGACACGACGACACAACCCTCTCGAGGATGACATCACAGCCACTGGTATTCTCAAGAACAAGCCCTCAAAGAGGAGATCAAAGGGCGGCGATGATGAGGAGGAAAACTTTGTCGACGACCGCGCTTCCAGAACCATTCTGCGCATAGGTCGTGAGCTTGCCGAGGAGGAAAATGCTGGCAAGGCTGTCGCTAAACCTACCATCGACACTTTTGGCTACGATTCGCGATTTGACGATGAGGCTGAGGAGGAAAACAAGGTCTATGACGACGACGAGGCTTGGGGCGAGGATGAAGAAGTTGTGGAAGAAATCGAGGTTGACCCCAATGATCTTGACATGTACCGAAAATTCATGCCCGACGAGGAGGATGATTTATTGAAGCATGGCTGGGATCTCAAGCCTACAGGAGAGGAGCAGGGAGAGAGCGTCAACCTTGCAGATCTTATCTTGGAAAAGATTGCTGCTCACGAGGCGGCGCAAGAGAGGCGAGAGAACAACCTGGGACCTCCCGATGAGGAGGACTACGAGCTTCCTCCCAAGGTCATCGAGGTCTACACCAAGTGAGCTCCCAATCGGAACCTGAAATGAAGGCATAAGCTAACAATCCTAGGGTCGGCCAAATTCTCTCTCGATACAAGTCCGGACCTCTGCCAAAGCCCTTCAAGATTCTCCCCACAATCCCTCACTGGGAAGACATTATTGCTATCACCGAGCCCGACAAGTGGTCTACCAATGCTTGCTACCAGGCGACAAGAATCTTCGTCTCCAGCAAGCCCCATATTGTTCAGCGATTCCTGGAAATGGTCATCCTCGACCGCGTTCGCGAAGATATCTACGAAACCAAGAAGCTCAACGTCCATCTCTTCAACTCGCTCAAGAAGGCTCTTTACAAGCCTGCTGCTTTTTTCAAGGGCTTCCTGTTCCCCCTTGTTGGCAGTGGAACATGCACCCTCCGCGAGGCTCATATCATTTCCGCCGTCTTGACTAGAATTTCTATCCCCGTACTTCACTCTGCCGCGGCCCTGAAGGGTCTATGCGATATTGCCGCCCAGGAGGCGTCTCATGGAACCGAGGGCGGAGGTGCCACCAATATCTTCATCAAGGCCCTTCTTGAGAAGAAGTATGCTCTCCCTTTCCAGGTGATCGATGCCCTGGTTTTCCACTTTCTGCGATTCCGCAGTGTCGACCCTGCCTCTGTCCAGGTTGGCGACGCCATGTCGGGCCTGAATGAGGGCGATGCTCGAACAAAGCTGCCCGTTATCTGGCACCAGAGTCTGCTGGCATTTGCTCAGCGATACAAGGGCGATGTCACAGAAGATCAACGTGAGGCCCTTCTGGATCTCCTCCTTACACACGGTCACGCAGCTATTGGACCTGAGGTGAGGAGAGAGTTGTTGGCCGGACGAGGACGTGGTGTGCCGCTGGAGCCCCAGGGCCCAGCATTGGATGGCGATGACACTATGCTCATTGACTAATGGTAATGAGACTGATGTTATCTATCAACGGCATTTCTAATGAAGCAAGACAAACTTGGCGTATGGCGTATTAAAATGGTTTCAAGCTGGTTCGACTTGAGTGGAGATAGAATTGAGTCTGTTGGAGACAACAAGCCCATATCGATACCAATCCAATTACATATGATTCTTTTGTTCCATTTATGTTTCTTTTACAAATATCATCGTGCACTGTCCGTCACCTGCGTGCCTTCCACACCAGTGAGAGTCCTTGTTACCCAATTGGGATGCCATGAGCCCATCATTCACAGCATGTGGAAGGAGCAGTGACAACAGCTGCCATGCACCTCTAGAAGGCATCGGAACTCACTCTCCGAGCGAATCCGATACTCCCACCATTCATCCTCCTGAGTTTCTACCTATGGAACAGCTCTTCTCACTGGCATCTGACGCTATACGTGCTATATTCTCTATCCCAGCCTCCTAGTTTGCTGCTTGAAGCCAATATATAATTCTTTTCCAACATCGTTCCACTTCATCACAATCTTGTCGCCCCGAAGTTGAGTATATCGTCTTGACCGAAGGGCGGCCTCGCCCGAACATTGGTACTCCAGGTTTAAGATGCCGGCGCAGTCTCGTTCAGATCCATCATTGCCAACAATTCGTCATAATATGAACGAGCCCAAGTACGATACCACACTCCGAAACACGTAGAAGCTATACTGATAGCTCTAGTTACTTCAATGTTCCTCATGGAACGGCTGCGTCTCCCTCCTTCGCCGCCGCGGCGTTCACGGCATCCAAACCAAAATATGAAAACCTAATGAAACACCATCCGAGCCTTCCTTCAATGCCGGAGAATATTTTCTCGTCTCCTCTAACTTCGAATGTTGCTACGCCTCGACCAACCTATCGACAATCTTTATCATCCTCTAGTTTCGGCGTTGACCCTCCACGGCCTCCTCATGACGGGTTCGAGTAGGTCTGGTTCCCTCAAGGATACTGGGCAGAGCGCCAAATTATGGTACCACGGAAGAGCACTTCTGGGAAAAGCTTCTTCAAGTGGAGGAACCGCTCGACAAAGTCCGCCAGTGAATCAGACGTTCGAGGCCATTCATTCGCATCTCCTTTAACATCCCTTTCAGCGCCACTCAACTTCCAAGGGTTCGAACCAACACAGCCAAGACCACCTTCCAGTCCCTTTGTGTCGGAATCGGCGCACGTTCTCTCTCTGCAGCATCCTTCCGTCACGCGCTTCTCAGATCAATTTCCAGATTCAAGTGATATATCCCCCAGCCTGAACAGCACAGACTCGATCTCCCCGATGAACAATTCTGGGATAAACGGGCAGACGAATACTCCTCCCTCTTCACCGCCGAGTTCCGTAGGCTTTTACGTCAAAGCGAAGAAGAGTCTCGAATCAAAGCTGAAATTTAAGACTCGCAAAGAGGTAAGTTTGTTTCGTAGGTAGACAAATAGATTGACACTAATCTCGACTAGGAGCCGATGTGTTCAGCTATCCCACAACATGTCCTTCAATGTGCAGCAATGGATGGCACAAGAAATTACTCCAGCATGCTCCAAATCACTAAAACAGGTTCCTGGTTCAAAGACGACGCGGCGAAGCCCAAGCTTCGAAGAAGGCTCTTTGGCAGGGCACCGTGGGCTCGCAAGGAATCAGCAGATTCTTTCAGCAGCGTAACCAGCTCTGTGAGGGAGATACTCAAAGGTGAGACTCCTCCTCCCTCGGCAGCCTCAAGCTATACTTCTTGTATGTTAAAGAACATATACGGTATCTGGGAAGCCGATGCTGACATCCTAGCAGTGCATCTCAACTGTGTTAATGGCCAGTTTCCGGGAGGGGTATGTTCTTGTAAAGCGATCTCGGGTCGCCACATACTAATAGCTTTTTTTTCGTAGGAGGCAAGACGAATAAAGACACCGCCTCTGGCCGAAGACACTGCGAGCGGTCGGCCACGTTCATTTTTCACTGAGACAGTTCCTCCTACAGAAGACGATGAAATGGGGTCTCCGTCGAGAAGGAATTCTCTCCAAACAGTTCGTCGCCAGAGCATTGTTGCCGACACTTACGAGTGGTGGGAAAAGATGCCCAAGAAGCCCGTTCGCAGGAGTCCTTTTCAAGACCGACCTCCTTTTGAGTTTCAGCTACCGGAACATCTTCCCAGCAGCCCAATGTGCCCGACCAACGAAAAACATGTCAGCGGTGGGACTGGTGTCTGTGTCTACCATGGGCGCAGGAAGGGTGCATCAAGAATGGCGCCAGTGTGATTCGAATTACCATTTGAAGCAAGCCGGAAGACAGAGCGGCCATGCCTTGGGTATTAAATGGCTGTTGGTTTGGAGTACCATAGACCTCAACCCCTATGACTTTGATTTGCGTATTCTGCTTTGTTCTTGTAGTAGGATACTGATGAATCAAGTAATAACATCAATAGCAAGAGGGGTCACAAAATAGGTGATAGAGTTGGCAGCACGCTCTTGTTCAGTGCTTTCGTATTCGATTTTTGCATTGATTGATGGTGTTGAGTGATGATAGTCTACTCTATAGCATTCTTCTGTGTATTCCGATTCCCTTGGTTTATATGATCGCCTATTCACCCTACTCTCGTCCCACTTCGACTTGCTTGACTCAAATATGTTCTCAAAACGCCAATCTTATGCTCCAAGAATTAAGAAGTAATCTAGACGGAAGACCTAACTTGGGTACTCGGTGCTCCTTTATAAACCGTCTGGCCCTCTGTAGGCATGACATAGTCATAAGTTTGCTGATTATTCTTCTTTCTGCTCCAGAAGGACTTGCTACCCTTGAAGAACAAAGGCGGCGGGTTGCGAATGTGAGTCAGTACAAGAATAACGAGCCAGACAATGGTGATAGTAGGGATCATCCAAGGACTCTGTTGATATTCGGCGGATCGTGTTGCACTGTATCTTATCAATGCGACGAGACTTGTGCCGAGGCCGAGGAGCGTGAAGAGGACGTGACGGGTAATGGCCCATTTACTCCATGGTTTCGTTCGTGAGATGACGGCCAGAGAGACCATGAGGATCAGGGAGATACCAGCTGCAATGTAGGTATAGTTAAACTGCGTCATGATTAGAACCGAAGTAGATACGACGATATTGCGTGAGATTGACTTACGATAAGTTGAAAACGAACCCACATCTTCTCATTGAGTTCAGATTCAAAACCAGAATCAGTTTGCTGTATGCCTTTGCTCTTGTTCTCGTCGTCAACTTCCTTCGCAAGGTTGATCTTGAAGGTCTCAAGCAGAGCGTTCTCCATGGCACTCATGAGTCCAACCATGGCGTCGACAAAAGTCTGGTAGTCTTTCTCATCAGGGTAATCCTTATCCAGATTTGTATCAGAGTACTTGACGACCTGTGGCCAGAAGGTGTCGTTGATAGTAGAGATATTCTTGAGCGCAGCGTCGGCCGTGTTCAAAGTCGTGATATACTGAGGTGTGTAGGTCTCAAAGAACTTGGTAACCACTTTCTGGAGCTCGTCGACGATCATCTTGGTTGTTGCCTTGGCCATGAGACTTGTGTTGTCTAGGAGTACTGAGCTCGAGTTCAGGTGCTTGAAAACATCAAAGATCTTGGTCCAGATGACGAGCTGTGTGAAACCCTGGATGAAAAGGCAGAGGGCGAGATGTAGAGGATAGTGGAGAAGAGTCCAGAGTTGTTGTCGGAACTTGGGCAGATAAGGATTCTTCATCCAGTCGAAATAGATGAGGAAGACGGCATAGATTGTTGTCGCTGCGGCAGTTACAATGCCAATCGTTGAAGCATCTGTTAGTCGTTAGAAGACACCCTTGCCTAAGGGCATACAAATAGAAGACTTACTCCATGCATCAGGGCTTTCCACGATAGTGACAACGCTCTTTGAAATAGTAATGATTCCATCGCCAACGATAATGACAGTCAACAGACCAATACGCTTCATCAAATGTGTACCCTGGAAGCTCAAGACCGGGAAGATATAGGCAATGGCGAAAGTGAGGATTACCTCTACACCGGCAAGGACATACCAAGTCATGAAGACGTTGCTATTGTGGTTAGTAAAGCGGAATGTGATGCCGAGATAGATCATGGCAAGGGCAAAGTTCAAGCCAATTTGGAGCATCATCGGCAAGACCTGCTTCTTGTACTTTCGGACGTGCCAGAGGATGCTTCCATATTCGACAGCCAAGCACAGGCGAGAGACCATGAGGATGATGGCTAGAGAGTGTCAGATATGAAATTCAGGGGTAGGATGGGGTTGAAAAACATACACATTGTTCTCATGGTCTTCATGTTTTGATCGTGAGGCGTGAACTTGGGTGCAACGACGGCGAATCCAACCATGACTCCGAGATGGACACCTCGAGCCGCACGTTCTGTCTCTGTTAGTATCGTACAACAAGTAATTCTAAACTGACCTACCGAAGAGACTGTCTGTTACAAATCGGACATCATATAGACTAGTAGTGAGCCATGTGATCCACAGAATACTTTCTATCTGTTAGCCTCTTCATCGCAATCATGCTCTCTCTATTCCTACCTGAAGTATCCGACATAGGCTTTGAAACGCTCGTGGCTGTTGACACCTTGTGTTTCGCAAAAGACAGTGTAGTTGGCGGCGAAGAAGAGATCATAGAAAAGCTCGAGTAGACTGGCATCTTCGTGCTGTTTCCGTGTCAGTACAGATTCTCTTAGTGACGTCTTGTGGTGTAGACCTTTTGGAACTGTGGACAGTCATCGTCGTATCTGTTGCCAAAGAGGCTCAGATCAGGAGCAGTAGGGGTCCTTGTGGGAAGACCATCGATGCTAGAGTCGAAAGATATAAGAGGACTCTTGATGAGAGCGAGCTTTTCAGCTGCTGTAGCGCTCTCGTTATGATCTTCTCTAGCCATTCTTTAAAGAAACAATCTCCCTTATCAAAGGTAAGCTTCGTCGTTGCAGGGTATAATAGCATCACGTAGATGCAACAACACTTCACATCTGATAGGATCTCTACACATACCTTGAAGCAGACTACTCAGGCCAGGATGACAATCCAGTCTACAATGATTTTCAAGACTGGATGGAAGCCTAGTTATGTAGACTGGACCGAATATTCGGCTCTGAATGGCTGACAGGGATTACAGGCCTTAATGATAACTTCAAACGCTGATCAGAGCCACGAATGCATGGATTCATCCAGCCAAGTACAGTAGCTGCAATGCACCCTGATATTAACAAGGACCTTGACCGTTGCGAATACAACATTGAAATGGCTTGATAAGAGAATTTTAACCTGGAACTACTGACTAGTGCAGACACAAACATCGAACCGGACCCGGTTAGTTCGTCCTTGTGATGTCTCTGATTGAACAATTCCCACTGTAGAGTAGTATCAGAATCTTACGTGAGAGGGCCAATCTTAGCCCCCAACAATATTAAGTGGTAGCGAGCTGAAGACACTCGGCACATACAAACGGCTCACTAATACGACTTGAACTCTCTGATTCGCCAGGTGATCTGTTTTTAGAGACACCGATAAAGCTTGGCAAAGTGTGGTGATCCACAAGGCTGGGAGAGCGTTGGAGTCTTTAGTGGAGACTGTTGCTATTAAATGCAACGGCTGAGCCAAAGTTCCCAGGATGTTTCGTTTTGTCTTTGCTCTTTTGGGTTGTATTTTTCGTGGCGCTGACTGGTTGTAACGCTGGCGATGGATCCTTCGCTGGTTTTTGCTTACCATTCGCATGCAGAGACCTTCTGCGTCCAGCCGCTCTATATACCCTGTATTCTGTGGTCTGATAGACATGCAATCATGGGTTTGAACAAGTTTGGATCTACCTTAATTGAAATGAACTATGTTGATAGAGGACGTTCGGGAAATAAAGTTCAACGTGCAATCTAAATATCCACTGTAGCATGGCAGAGATGATAGTTGAGTACATAGATATATGGTCTGATACTTGAGATGACGATGCTGGTGCCCTCGCGGTCAGATGCAACCAAGTTGAGTCATTAGCGGCTAAAACATGTAAATAGACCGAGTCACTGCATGCAAATGCAAGCACAACAACCCCTGGACTCGAATTACAGACCAACATCCATTGTCTTTAAAGAATGCAACCCAGTTAGGAAACTCAAAAACCAACAGCATCTCATAAGGCTGGTAAAGTGGGCCATTGTGCATATTCCCCATGTCTCGTGACTTGGCTCCATTCAAGCGCTTAATTCTCATTTCGACGCGTCAAACGCGTCTCCCCCTTGACTTGACTTGGCCTGGTAACTCAGCGCAACCAACCCATAATGTCGATGGGCAACAAAAACAAACTTCGAGATGATGCAGTGTTAGTTTTCGGTCCGGAAACCATTTGACGATATTTTCTGTCATCCACGCAACCACAATGGACTCTCCTAGCCAGGACGCAAGCGCTCGAAAGAGAAATCATTTTCAAGACGATCCTGTACCTACTCCTCCAACATTAAAGAAACGAAGAGTCGACGGACTCGCACAGGGATCACCCTCGACCCCGAAAGCTCTCGATGCTATCAACTCAGCATACTCTTCTACTATATCCAGTCAAAACGCCTGGCCACCAGTGAACAACAACCTTGAAGCGCCCAACTCCAACACACAACCTGCAGCTCAACCATCACAACCACCACCACCAGCTTCTGCAGCGCCCAAATTTCGACCAGCCATCAAACTATCTGCTTTGAAAGGCACAATATGGGACACTCAAGATGCTCCCCGTCCCGTGCCTCTACCCAAAAAAGTAGGCCCTGGGCGACCGAGAACCACAACAGCCAAAAAACCACCCGGACCCAGGGGCAGACCACGAAAGAAGAAGGTACAAGAAGGGGATGAAGAAAACCAGCAAGGCACTCAAACGCAAGAATCAGCCGACGAGTTGGCCACAGCAAATGGAAATCTATCGGTATCGAAACCTACACCAAAGGGAATTCTGACTCCCAAGAAAGGCAGACCACGAGGACGACCACCGAAAAATGTTAGTTTTGGGGCAGGCCAAGATCGAAATGGAGAGGTCTACTTTGAGGACCTGCCGAAGAACGCCAAGACACCTCGTAAGGCGGCCAACTCTGAGGCGGACGAACTTGTATGCGCAATCTGCATCAAACCGCACTCCCAACCTCCGAACCAAATTATTCTATGCGACATGTGTGATTTTGCCGTTCATCAAGAATGTTACGGAGTGCCTGATATCCCTGAAGGCGACTGGCTTTGCAAGTCATGTACTCAAGAGGACATACTTAAGACGCCGAAAAAGACTGCA